CTCCACTCCTGAACGACCGACCACCAGAATCAACGTGTCACGGTGGCTGAAATCATCACGTAACTATCTCTATGTGTATGACACCAAACCTTTCACTGGCATTGATTCCACCGAAGCCTCTGAATTCAAAAGGCTCTCGGAGTACGGCCGAAGAGCCTCGCAGCAGAATTCTGGACCGTTTTAAACCTTGAAATGAGCCAAGCAGGGAAACCGTAGGAGAGCTATTTGAAATGTAGTCCAACAGAGAAGTAATGAAGGCATGGATGAGAGTCTCAGAATATTCCATATGCGGGCAATGTAACATTGGCATAGGTAGAATGTCTTGTAGACTGGCGACATTTGGTCGGTGAATAAAAGCATGAGGATCTAAAATAACCACGGGGTTACACGTGCTGTTTGCCAAGGTCAAATAACAAAAAATGTTCTATTTGTATATATTTATAAGTGAATGTTATCTATCCTCTACTCTACACTCCTATCGTGTTTTTGTATTGTTTGTTGTTGTAACCTTCTAACCTCCCCCAAACTGGAGATCTGCGAAAAACATTCATCCAGTATACATAAATATTCTGATTCTTATAATTTGTAGGTTCAGGAGATGCACATGTGACTTGGAAACTTTGTCAAATAGGCTTTTGTTTTACCAATTTGAAGCACCTCAATTTACGTCCATATTTACCAGCATCAACATTGCTACTATCGCATCACAACCACTACTACCAACAAAACCCATCATTGAAACAACCACCACGGCATGGACACCATCCCAATCGCCACAAGCCAACCACGAGGACGACAAGGCAACCACAAAGCATTGCCTTCAACACCATCTCCTGCATCACAACATCCACCAACAAAGAAGAAACAAAGACTCCTCAAATAGTCTTAACAAATTGTTGAGGCAAGTGCTGTAAGCAAGCAACTATGAAGGCCAACACGGTACACGAGGGGGTGGGTGGTCAGCACCATGCCCGACAACCCTTGTCTCCCCAGCGACAATGTTTTCACACCACACCAGGTACAGTCCACATGTGAGGTTGAGTCGACTTTGGGGAGGACCACGTACGGTTCGGATAATCATCACTGGTGTTGGCCGTGAGTGGAAATCAAACTCGGCTTGCTGGGTTCGTATCGCAGCGCGCTAACCACTGAACCACTGCTGCCCAGATCCACCAACAATGCCACTAATATCACCAGCGCACGTGCAAAGCCCTAGTGGAGCCCAGTGGAATTCCTGATGGAATTCCTATGGATCCCCATTTAACATTCCTGGATCTCATATTCTTAGCTCTTTCGGTTAAGTCACATTGAAGGGAAACAATAAAATAATAAAATATATATAAAACAATAAAAATTCTCACGACGTTTCGACCATAACACACCTGATGACGACCGTTTGTGTTATGGTCGAAACGTCGTGAGAATTTTAATTGTTTTATATATTTTATTATTTTATTGTTTCCCTTCAACGTGACTTTACCGAAAGAGCTAAGAATATGAATTACTGCAGTCACGAAAGCTTTAAATCAAAATTCCTGGATCTCTTACCCTCGGGCGCACTGATGCTGTTTTTGGACATCACGGGCTTTGCAGCCGAAGGCTAGAACCTCGCAAGAAGCAGCAGCAGTAGCGGCAGGAGCAGTTTGAAGAACTTGAACTCCATGGCGAAGCAGCTGTAGTAAGTGGAGCTCAGTGAATATCCTGGAGCTAGAACTTAGCGTTATTGTCAGGAGGTAAAAAATAAAATGACACCTACGTGACTTTAGCGAATAGAACCAAAGAGTATGGATCCTTGCAGTCACGAATGCTTCAAATCTAGAATTGTTGTCAGGAGCTTGAACGTGGAGCGTCGACCTCACTACACGCCCTCGAAGTGTGTGACGTCACTACAGGTCTGTGACAACATGTGACGTAGTATTGACGGTGGGCGGAGCCAGGCGAGTGGGCGGAGCCAGGCGAGTGGGCGCGTCCATTCGGCAGTTGAGAGCGGGTAAAGTCACGCAGAAAGAAAATAAATTAAAGAATATTAATTTAATATGAAGTCAATATTAAATAATTAATTAATTGGAGATTCATTCGATAATATTCTTTAATATTAAGTTCATTTTAAATACACCTAATTTTATATTTAATAAATATTAAATAATATTTAATTTATTATTACATTTATTTTCTTTCTACGTGACTTTACCGAAAGAACCAATGAGTAATTCCTGCAGTCACGAAAGCTCCAAATCAAATTCTATTTACCTCGCTTGTATTTAATTTCGCATATAATATGTCACTTGTCATTTCGTCTATATTGTTGTGTAATTTCACGTGCATCTCCTTGCGTTTCTGTGTGTTGGGCGCCGGGAATTGTTTTGCCCTGAGAGCGGCGACCAGTGTGGTATCGGACTGTTGAGACCACGTGACCCGGGTTGGTTTATAGTGGAACTCGAGTTGCCAACCATTCCGGATTGGCCCGAAATCTCCCGGAATTTTTTTTTATTGATCTACTGGTAGCGATTGCAAAGCAATCCCAATATATTCTAGATTTGAAGCTTTCGTGACTGCAAGGATCCATACTCTTTGGTTCTATTCGGTAAAGTCACGTTTGAGAGGAGACCTGATGGCTCATTGGGGCATTCTGTCTACAGGAAACCCACCCACACAGATTCCTACTTGAAGCCTGATTCCCACCACCACCCAGCCCAAAAGAATTATCTCATCAAAACTTTATACCATAGGGCTCATTGCATTTCGGACCAACACCACCCGACCAGTGAATTAAAACATGTACACCTGGCCCTCAAAAGGAATGGATACTCTGACCGTACCATCCGCCAAGCTGTTTCTCCCTCCATACAGAAACAACCACTTGATACTCCGGTCAAAACCATCACACTACCATATATAGCAGGCGTTACTAAAAATATTTCCAAAATTCTAAACAAACACAAGATCCAGGTCCGGTTCAATACAGTACATAAAATTCGTGATCTGATCCCATCCGTGAAGGATGTCATTCCTGACTTACAGTACCCCAGGGTTTACAAATTGAGTTGTACCTGCGGTGATTGCTATATCGGGGAGAAGAAAAGACATGTCTCTGACCGAATTCGCGAGCACAAATCAGATTTGAAACACGGCAGAACGAATTCTTCTGCCGTGGCTGATCACTGTTACAACGCTGTGGGTGATCACGATATAATTTTCTCCGATACCAAGGTTCTTTGCAAACCCACGGGTTTTTATCAGAGATTTGTTCACGAGGCAATTCAGATCTACAAACACAGACACAATTTCAATCGAGAAGATGGTTTCAAATTAAGCAACCATTGGAAAGATGTTCTAAATCGAACTAAACATTAAACTAATTTTCATTGGTACAGTATATTTTTTTCAAGTAGTGGTACCCCAAACTTTTGCAGCACAGGCTGGTGCACTGCCAGTGCCGATCATTGTGCTACACCTTTCATCATGCTAAGTCCGCCAATCAAATGCTAATTTTTACGCTAATTTCTTTGTCAAGGCACCTTAATCCCTCTCACACAGCTTAAAGGTGCACTGCCGTGTGCTACACTTTTCATCATGCTAAGTCCGCCAATCAAATGCTAATTTTTACGCTAATTCCTTTGTCAAGGCACCTTAATCTCCCTCTCACACGGCTTAAAGGTGCACTGCCGCGTGCTACACCTTTCATCATGCTAAGTCCGCCAATCAAATGCTAATTTTTTATGCTAATTCCTTTGTCGAGGCACCGTAATCCCTCTCACACAGCTTAAAGGTCGCAGTCTGAGCTTGGCTCTGTTTCACTCCAGCGCAGTCTTCGAGACAGCCTGGTCCCTTCACCTGATGAAGGCCCGCTTGTGTTGTGGCCGAAACGTCGTGATTTTTGTTGTTTTATTTTTTTACCCACGTGACTTTACCGAATAGAACCAAAGAGTATGAATCCCAATATATCTTAATAACGGGAGGTTTTCACGAAATAAATTAATTTGACAAAAAAAATCTTCCGAAATAGCTTAGGCCAGAGTTGGCAACCCCGTAGTGAACAGGGTGGAAACTCGACCACAAAACAGTGGCACGACATCGAGCTACAGACTGGTAGTTACCGCACGGCTATGCTGCACCATTACAGCAGAACGAGACTGATGGGTTGTGTAAAAAAAAACTAAATACGGAGACGTCCTGTCGTATCAGCAATCGTACCCATCGGTACGCACGTGTAAATAGACAAACTGCGAGAGTGAACACCTCTTGTAATGTAAACTAGTGCACGGTGCGAGGTTGACTTTGAAAAAAAAAATGCTGCGGTTGATGGTTTTTGCACGTTTCGGAATCTTTACATTGGTGGAATCTGATGAGCTAAAAAGCTCTTTCTCACACATGTCCATATGCTCACACTCTCGCAAGCAGTTTTTTTTTTTGTTTAATCACAGACGCTGATTTTAATCACAAACGCAACGTCGTTGTTTTCTTGAGCTGCCAAAACCTTTTAAGCCGGAGTTTTCCCCAACCAGTGTACAACATTCTTCATGAGGTCTCAAACGTTCCTGGTATTCGTTTAAGGCCGTTGTGACGTTTGAGTTCCAGTGAAGCAGTGGCGTGGCTAGCTAGTGTGCAAGCGGTGCAACTGCACAAAGGGAGCCGCGGGATTTTCTGTTTGCACAGTCACATAGTCACTTTAAAGATGTTTTTCTTGTTCATGTTTTTTTGTTTGTTGCGGTTGTACCCGATTCAAGAGCCGAATGGCTCACAGGGCTACACCAAATAAATGAACCATGGAACTATGGGTGCCGGAGGAGGGGCTCCAGGCGCTGGGCTCCGTTCAAATGCGCTCGGAGTCAATGTCGTAAGATGCGTCGTAAATCAAATATCGGCGTCGTAAATCAGGTTGCTGCGGCGTAAATCGAGTTTCGGCGTCGTAAATCGACCCGTGGTGACGTGAAACAAACTTCGTGAATGCGGATCGTTCGAAATCGTACCGTCATAAACCAGCGACCACCAGTGCTGTATAATTATGTTTTTTTTTTTTATTTAAACGGAATTCATGAAAGGGAACGCTGTAATGTATCGTCCTGTGAAATGTATTAAAACGTGTGTAAGTCTGTGCATGCACGGGTATAAATATGTGCGTGTGTGTTGCGTGCCAGTTTGGAGGCGATGGTTGGAAGCTGCAAGGCTCGGCCGCATCCTAAAATGTGACAACCATAAAAAATATATTACAAAAATGTCTACGAAAAATGTAATGAAAAGAACGAAGTCAGTTAATCAAAAGATAAAAGTATTACGATTCATGAAAAAGGATTAAAATATTACAAGTTCAAAGATACTGTCATTCAGTAGCACAATGTGCCAGCCAAGTCAACCAGGAAGCCACCAACGAGTCTGTGAAATCTGTGTTTAAGTATTTATTTCTCATGTAAGCTTTGTGAGATAAAAAAAAATCAACCAGAATGTTGCCCACTCATATTTCAGAGGCTTAGCAGGTTTGATCCTGGCTATTGCCTGGATGGGTGACCAACCCATGCCCAACCAGCTACGGGGCCGCACAGCAACTTCGTAACATCCATTGCTCGCCTGTACACTGACCATACTTGACCAGCGTGAAGTATGGTCAAATAACTCCCATGACCTGCATGGCACGGAGAGGCCCTCGCCCAGCAGTGGATGGACACGTGGGCTCCGCGTGGTTCTGTGGTAAATCACAGGTTAGCAGCTTTTCAGAATGAACGATTTTCATCCAAGGTGCTGTTGGCAATTTGGTGGTGAAGAGGTAACGGTGAAGAAATGCTGAAGAGATTATGAAGAGATGAAGCAATGATGATGAGATTATCAAGTTACGAGATGGTGAAACATGAAGAAGAGATGTTTAAGGGATGACAACTACAGATGTTGACGAGATGATCAAGCGGAGATGGCGAGGAAAGATATTGAAGAGATGAGAGGCTGAAACGATGATCCAGAGATGATGAAGGGACGATAATGATGATGAAGAGATAGTGAAGAGATGTCGGTGTGGAGAGATGGCGCTGTGGTGTGTGGAGATGGCGTGGATTGGCTGAGATGAAATGCACAGTGCAGGCGGTGATATCGTCTAGGTGATGACGGTGTTGTTGTGTCACGATGTCCCCTCTTGTGTTGCACCACCAGCAGCAGCAGGAGGAGCCTGGCTGGTGCTGCGCTCCCGTGAGGCAGCCCCGGGGGGCGAGGGGAGGGCGGCCTTCACTTCGGGGCGTCCCATCACCTCGCGGATCCACGGCACAAACCGCGACACCTTCGATAGAATCAGAATAGTTATGCTGGAGGAATCCGATGAGCCGTAAAGCTCTTTTTCACAGGTGTCCAGTAGGGGCGGGCACGAATGTTACAACAACGGTACAAAAACTCGATAGTCGTGCAAAGTACAAGGAAAGTAAACAAATCACCCAAACAAACAAATACAACACTGAACCATCCCCATCCTAAATTTTGATTTAAAGCTTTCGTGACTGCAGGGATTCATATTCTTGGTTCTTTCGGTAAAGTCACCACGTAGAAGTGAAACAATGAAATAATAAAAAATATATTTTTTATTATTTTATTGAAACAATGAAATAATAAAATATATTTTTATTATTTTATTGTTTCCCTGCAGGGATTCATATTATTGGTTATTTCGGTAAAGTCACGTGACTTTATCGAAAGAACCAAGAATACGCATCCCCATCCTATCTAGATTTGAAGTTTTCGTGACTGCAGGGATCCATTCTCTTTGATTCTTTCGGTAAAGTCACGTAGGCATAAAATAAAATAGAAAATAAAATAAATTATTTTATTTTAAAGTGACTTTACCGAAATAAGCAAAGAGCGAATGCATCCCCATCCTACCAGGCAAATGCCCACTGAAGTATTAACATGGCAGCACCCGTCAGCATCATTGCATGAATGATGAAGTATGGTCAAACCACCCTCATGACTGACACGGGGTGTAGATTCCTTAATCCAGCAGCGGACTAAGTCAGTGCTGAAGAGTCTTGCCGTTATTATTTTATTGACCCAGGGAAGCTTTACCAAGTCTCAAGACTTATTTTAAGAGGGTGCTGCTACATTGAGATGCTGATCAATTCAACGAATGCCAGTTTGGCTATCTCATCATCATCATCATACATTGCACTGCATCATGCATTGCATTGTATTTCAATGCACCATAGACAGTATTGCAATTCAGTGCAACGCATTGTATTTCAGAGCAATACAATATTTACAGCGACTGTAACAGACAGCGGCTGCTGCTATTTAATTGACCTTTTATATTTCTATACAATTCTACAAAAAACGACGACGCTACTCGTCCCCATCTTTGGCTATTGATTAACTTCAACAATTACTGGAACTACCCCATGTGCAACTGCGGCGACAACTGGTACGTGAACTATTTCTGTCCTGACAGTCACTACTTTGACCTCTTGCTCGCTTCGCCTTGTATGCGGAGGACGAACTCCCTTGCCACGTCTTCGCATTAGCCTGGTGCCCGATGTTTACGCACTCGGCCTCTGCCCTGCGGAGCTTACCACCGCTGGTTCTCGTTTCACAAGATGCATGGCTTACAGAGTAGCTGCCATGACAACGGGACTCTCCACAGACCCCCCCTTAACACCGTGGTGTCTGGTATCACGGTGTGGACCGTAAGGGGCCGTCCATAAATGACGTCACGCGATTTTGAACGATTTTTGACCCCGCCCCCCCCCCCTCGTCACACGACGTCACAAAGTCAGACCCCCCCTCCTCAAATATGACGTCACAAAGCTCTGCCTCTTCCCCCCCCCCCCCCAAAACCATATTTCCATTTTGAAAATAAAACTTGCTTCAAATCGCTTTAAACTATTGTCATCGTAGTGCGTATTTAATGTGGCGCTGCACTCTGATGTTGTAGGAGCGTTGTTATAACAATTAGTGTTGCTATAACAATTCTATATTTATTTAAAGTTGCGCATTTTGATGTGACGTCACATTTCTCAAACCCCCCCCTCCCCTCGTCACACATCGTCACAAATGTCTGACCCCCTCAGGTGCGTGACGTCATTTATGGACGGCCCCCAATATCAGAAGGGTCGGTGCTGTTCTTGCGGTGGCCCAACTATTAGTCCCGACAGGGCTGCGGTGCCATATAAATGAGGAATTATCGGGCTGCAGTTTGGAGCTCGCCTCTGCCGAGTTGACATTCCCAGGGACACGCGACGCAGGAGGAAGTTCCAGACTTCCCCCTTCATCGAGGAGCGGGTATCCCACCTACGGTTTGTCACACGTTGATTTGTGGCACTGGCGCGGAGACGGAAAGACAATCTCTTTCGTAACAGTGGACCCTGGCAGTGGCCACCGGTGAAAAACCAGGGCTTAACTTAGGAACTAAGGCCTAGTTTTTCTCCCGTAACAAACAAACAAAAAAACATGCACGGTGCAACCGGCCAAAAGACTTCGATGCTGAAAATCTGCCTGAAAAATGACTCGATCGGGATGACACGGAGCAGCCTGCAACCTACTTTGACAAAAAGAAAAAAAAAAGACTCGTCAGAACCCTTCTTAAAAAAAAGCGTTGAGACTCGGCGAACCGTCGTAAAAAGATGATGCAATGCGCGTTTCTGCGGTGTCGCGGTGTGCAATGCGGGCCATGGCACTGCCACGCCGCCTCTTACCTTGGTGTAGACTCCGTACTTGCCGCGCCGCGCGCACCCGTCGCCCCAGCTCACGATGCCCGTCAGGAAGAAAGTGTCCCCGTAGAGCGTGGCGTGGGGGCCCCCACTGTCCCCGCCGCAAGCGTCGCCCAGCCTCCCGCCGCCGCCGGCCCCATCGTCGTCCGCGCTGCGCCCCGCGCAGAACATGTTGCGCGTGACGGCGGGGCCCAGCGCCCTGACGCACTCCGCGTGCGGCACGAAGGGCACGCTCACGGCCTGCGAGCGCCGGGGTTACCGGGTAGCCGGGGGGGGGGGGGGGGCGGGGTCGAGGAGGGCATTTCGCGCGGCTCAGGCGGGTGCGGCCATCGCGCGGCGGACGGGGGTTGCCTGAGTGTAGCTGCGCGCCTGTCCGTACCCGAGTTGGCACAGTGGGGGGGGGGGGGGGGGGGGCACAGGTGGTGCATCGGCCACGCATCTCAGTCGACCCGTGGCACCTGCTGGGTCTGCCCCGTGACCTCCTGCCAGCGGGCGTTCGACGCTTGACGTGGCCTCAAGGTGCACGTGGCCTGGCACAAGCGTCGTGGTGACGTCACCGCCACTTAGTGGCGAATGGCGGTTGTTGTTGTTGTTGTACGCAGCGGAGCGGTGGTGTAGGCGGAGAGCCGCGCTGCGAACCTGGCGGCCCCGAGTTCGATTTCCCGCTCACGGCCGACACCCGTAACGATTATCTGAACCGGTTCTGGGCATCCCCTATGTCGACTCGGCCTCAAATGAGTACCTGGTTCGATGTGTAAACATCGCCACTAGGGAGACAAAGACGGCCGGGCGTGGTGCTGGCCACCCACCCCGTCATGTACCGTACCGGCCTTCATGGGTGCTCGCTAACAGCACTTGCCCCAACAGAATGTTAAGGCTATATGGTTTACCTTTGGCTATACACACACGTGGATTATCCCACCAAATATTCCAGTGCTTTTGATGTTATATCTCTTTATGTGCGTTTTATGTACGTAGGATCGCCATTCATCACAAAATTGCTGTTGATGGAACCATGCCCCACGTACACATTTACACAGTAACAACCGCCGGTGTAGGTGGCGGTGATGTCACCAGGGCACTTGAGCCAACCTAGGTGCACCTTGAGACAATGAGAAGTTTCGAGAGGCTTGCTGGCATGAGGTCACGGGACAGACTCGGTTGTTATGGATTCACTCAGGTGACTGGACGATGTGCTGGCAGGAGGTCACGGGACAGACTCGGTTGTTATGGATTCACTCAGGTGACTGGACGATGTGCCACCTATGGCTCCTCACTATGCCAACTTGCTGCATTTTATTCACCACCGTGTCCCACTCATTGCGTGTAGGTGACATTAGCGGCCACACGACATGACGCGCCATCCTTCACGGTCGTTCTTTACACGCGACCTGGTTCCCGGGATTGACTGTGATCGCGTAAAGCCACCCGGTACTCTCCACCACCATCACCAGGCCCGGACTGGGCAGGCAAATGCCCGGTGGACCGGTCCATTCTGAGGTCCGGTGGGCCGGTTTGTGTGGAGAAATTGCAGATGTGATCAGACTCTTTGGTTAATTTCGGTAAAGTCACGTAGGTATAAAATAAAATAAATCACGACGTTTCAAGGAGCAACACAAGCGTCCGTCATCAGGTGGGAGAGCATGATGGCGGACGCTTGTGTTGCCCCCGAAACGTCGTGATTTATTTTTCTACCCACGTGACTTTACCGAAAGAACCAAAGAGTATGGATTCCTGCAGTCACGAAAAGCTTCAAATCAAGAATGTGATCAGAGTAATTAAATTAATACAAAATGTTCTATCACCTCTAAATGCGTACGCTTCATAGCTTATTTACGCTCTGAGTTGACATTTTGTCCCATGGTCGCCAGCCCCAAAGACTCTTCCTCACCGGCCAATTAAATCAAAAATTGACCAGCCCAAAGAGGCGAAAGAGATCGCACGGTCGAACGTCGCGTCGCGCGACCCATTTAAAAAATAAAAAAAACAATTTCCCACAGCCTGAAATTTAGTCCGGTGTGTTTACAAATGCCCGTGCCGATTTTTTTCGTCCCAGCCCTTATCACCGACCATCACCACCGCCGCCGCTCGCACCTGCAACACGCTAGCTCGTGCCGCGCCTTCGCCTAGGCGGCCCCATCCGCTGACGAGGCCGTGGATGTCCGGCACCAGCAGCTGCTGCTCGGCCAGCGAGGTCGATGGCAGGCAAAGCGGCACGGCGCTGGGGCCGAGTCGGACGCGCGTCGCCAGCTGCAGCAGCGCCACGTCGTAGTCGCGGCGACGCGGAGCGGGCAGCAGCGGCGGCGACGACGAGGAGGAGGAGGAGGAGGCGACGTGCCGCTTGTGCATCACCACACGCCGCAACGGCAGATACTGCTCCGAGCCGTCCCACACGTCCACGTCGTACTCGCCTGCGTAGAGGGTGGGGCAGGGGGGAGGGCACTCAAAGACGTGGCTCGGTCTAAGCGCCCCGTGAGAGTCTTGTTGTATAATAACAATTGTCTGGAGAGCTCATCAGAGACCCCGGTCAACACGAGCTTAGTGGGAGGTTGCTCACTCTCCTCTCCTACCCCCAGAGTGTCGAACCACCTATCCCCAGCCATCCATGCGAGTTCACGAAGACGGAAGGTCTCCGATAGGGTTCCGAGACAATGACGGGCAGACAAGAGCGGTAGTCTCATCGGGGTCTATAAAGAATGACAAGACTTGTCCGGGTTTTGCGACCACACCGATGATCACGTAATTGGCCAGGCCGCCCTGGGTCTTCGCTCCCACGATGCAGTGGGCGGCTGTGATGACCCATTCGTCGTTCAGCAGCGCCCCTCCGCATAATCCTCTCCCCGTCTCGGAGCTCACAAGCAGAACCTGCCACAGCCGCACCACCACACCCTGTCAACCGCATCACCACACCCAGTCAACCGCATCACCACACACTGACAACCATGCCACAAAACCCTGGCAGCCGCACCACCACACTCTGTCAACCGCATCACCACACACTGACAACCATGCCACAAAACCCTGGCAGCCGCACCACCACACTGTCAGCGGCACCACTACACACTGACAACCATGCCACAAAACCCTGGCAGCCGCACCACCACACTCTGTCAGCGGCACCACTACACACTGACAACCATGCCACAAAACCCTGGCAGCCGCACCACCACACTCTGTCAGCGGCACCACTACACACTGACAACCATGCCACAAAACCCTGGCAGCCGCACCACCACACTCTGTCAGCGGCACCACCACACACTGACAACCATGCCACAAAACCCTGGCAGCCGCACCACCACACTCTGTCAGCGGCACCACCACACACTGACAACCATGCCACAAAACCCTGGCAGCCGCACCACCACACTCTGTCAGCGGCACCACTACACACTGACAACCATGCCACAAAACCCTGGCAGCCGCACCACCGAAACCCTGACAACTGCACCACCACACCCTGTCAACCGCACCACCACACTCTGTCAGCGGCACCACCACACACTGACAACCATGCCAAAAAACCCTGGCAGCCGCACCACCGAAACCCTGACAACTGCACCACTACTCCCGATCAACCGCATCACCACACCCTGTCAACCGCATCACCACACCCTGTCAACCGCATCACCACACCCTGTCAACCGAACCACTGCCCCCAGTCAACAACACCACTGCCCCCAGTCAACCGCATCACCACACCCTGTCAACCGCATCACCACACGCTGTCAACCGCATCACCACACCCTGTCAACCGCACCACTCCCCCCAGTCAACAACACCACTGCCCCCAGTCAACCGCATCACCACACCCTGTCAACCGCATCACCACACGCTGTCAACCGCATCACCACACCCTGTCAACCGCACCACTCCCCCCAGTCAACCACACCTCCACACCCTGTCAACCGCATCACCACACCCTGTCAACCGCATCACCACACCCTGTCAACCGCATCACCACACCCTGTCAACCGCATCACCACACCCTGTCAACCGCATCACCACACCCTGTCAACCGCATCACCACACCCTGTCAACCGCACCTCCACACCCGGTCAACCGCCGCTCCACACCCTGTCAACCGCATCACCACACCCTGTCAACCGCATCACCACACCCTGTCAACCGCATCACCACACCCTGTCAACCGCATCACCACACCCTGTCAACCGCATCACCACACCCTGTCAACCGCATCACCACACCCTGTCAACCGCATCACCACACCCTTTCAACCGCGCCACCTCAACCCAATCAACAGCACCACAGAGCCCGGTCAAGTGCACGAAGCGGTGTCGGTGCTTACGTGACTCACCTGCCAGGGACATTCTCCAGGCTCACACCTCCACCCATTGACAATCCTCAGGTCATCGCCACCTGCCCCGTTACCATCCCACACAACCATCACCAACATTATCATGACCGTGAGCAACATGTATCTCAATCACCATCATCAACGCCATAACCGATACCGACATCATTTGAATCACCATCATCGCATCGGTTACCATCACCACCGTTACCATCATCACCTTCATTACCATCGACACTTCCAGCACCATCGTCACCACCACCACCACCACAATCATCACCCCCACCAACATCATCGACATCATTGCCACAACAACCACAACGTCCTCTCAGCACTACCTCTGTGCTTGGCTTCTTTTTGTCTTTGTCTCCTTCCGCACGGAAACTCCACTGACCACGCACAGCACAGACACAGCACAGACACGGCATATACACAGCACAGACACACAGTATAGACAAACAGCATAGACACACAGCATAGACACACAGCACAGACACAGCACAGACACACAGCACAGACACAGCACAGACACACAGTATAGACACACAGCATAGACACACAGCATAGACACACAGCACAGACACACAGCACAGACACACAGCATAGACACACAGCATAGACACAGCATAGACACACAGCACAGACACGGCATATACACAGCATAGACACACAGCACAGACACACAGCATAGACACACAGCATAGACACAGAATAGACACACAGCACAGACACACAGCACAGACACACAGCATAGACACACAGCACAGACACACAGCATAGACACACAGCACAGACACAGCACAGACACACAGCACAGACACACAGCATAGACACACAGCATAGACACACAGCATAGAGACACAGCACAGACACGGCATATACACAGCATAGACACACAGCATAGACACAGCATAGACACACAGCACAGACACGGCATATACACAGCATAGACACACAGCATAGACACACAGCATAGACACACAGCACAGACACACAGCATACACACACAGCACTGACACAGCACAGACACACATCATAGACACACAGCACAGACACAGAGCATAGACACAGCATAGACACAGCATAGACAGCACAGACAGCATAGACACAGCACAGACACACAGCATAAACACAGCATAGACACACAGCATAGACACACAGCACAGACACGTCATATACACATCATAGACACACAGCACAGACACACAGCATAGACACACAGCATAGACACAGCATAGACAGACAGCACAGACACAGCATAGACACAGCACAGACACAGCATAGACACAGCATAGACACAGCATAGACACACAGCATAGACACAGCACAGACACAGCACAGACACAGCATAGACACAGCATAGACCCAGCTTAGACACACAGCATAGACACAGCATAGACACAGCACAGACACAGCACAGACACACAGCACAGACACACAGCACACAACACAGACACAGCACAGACACAGCACAGACACAGCATAGACACACAGCATAGACACAGCATAGACACACAGCACAGACACAGCATAGACACACAGCATAGACACAGCATAGACACACAGCATAGACACAGCATAGACACACAGCATAGACACACAGCACAGACACAGCATAGACACACAGCATAGACACACAGCACAGACATGGCATATACACAGCATAGACACACAGCATAGACACAGCATAAACACACAGCATAAACACACAGCACAGACACACAGCATAGACACAGCATAGACACAGCATAGACAGGACAGACAGCATAGACACAGCACAGACACACAGCATAAACACAGCATAGACACACAGCATAGACACAGCACAGACACGGCATATACACAGCATAGACAGCATAGACACACAGCATAGACACACAGCATAGACACAGCACAGACACAGAGCACAGACACACAGCATAGACACACAGCATAGACACACAGCATAGACACAGCATAGACACACAGCACAGATACGGCATATACACAGCATAGACAGCATAAACACACAGCACAGACACACAGCATAGACACACAGCACAGACACACAGCATAGACACACAGCACAGACACACAGCATAGACACAGCATAGACACAGCATAGACACAGAGCACAGACACACAGCATAGACACACAGCACAGACACACAGCATAGACACACAGCACAGACACACAGCATAGACACACAGCATAGACACAGCACAGACACAGAGCACAGACACACAGCATAGACACACAGCACAGATACGGCATATACACAGCATAGACAAACAGCATAAACACACAGCACAGACACACAGCACAGACACACAGCACAGACACACAGCATAGACACAGCATAGACACAGCACAGACAGCATAGACACAGCACAGACACACAGCATAGACACAGCACAGACACGGCATATACACAGCATAGACAGCATAGACACACAGCACAGACACACAGCATAGACACACAGCATAGACACACAGCACAGACACACAGCATAGACACACAGCACAGACACACAGCACACAACACAGACACAGCATAGACAAAGCATAGACACACAGCACAGACACAGCACAGACACAGCACAGACACAGCATAGACACACAGCATAGACACAGCATAGACACAGCACAGACACAGCATAGACACACAGCATAGACACAGCACAGACACAGCACAGACACAGCATAGACACACAACATAGACCCAGCATAGACACACAGCATAGACACAGCATAGACACAGCATAGACCCAGCATAGACACACAGCATAGACACAGCATAGACACAGCACAGACACAGCATAGACACAGCATAGACACAGCACAGACACAGCACAGACACACAGCACAGACACACAGCACACAACACAGACACAGCATAGACAAAGCATAGACACACAGCACAGACACACAACACAGACACAGCATAGACACACAGCATAGACACAGCACAGACACACAGCATAGACACACAGCACAGACACACAGCACACAACACAGACACAGCATCGACAAAGCATAGACACACAGCACAGACACAGTATAGACAAACAGCATAGACACACAGCACAGTCACACAGCATAGACACACAGCATAGACACAGCATAGACACAGCACAGACACAGCATAGACACACAGCATAGACACACAGCATAGACACAGCATAGACACACAGCATAGACACAGCATAGACAGACAGCACAGACACAGCATAGACACAGCACAGACACAGCATAGACACAGCATAGACACACAGCATAGACACAGCATAGACAGACAGCACAGACACAGCCTAGACACAGCACAGACACAGCATAGACACAGCATAGACACAGCATAGACACACAGCATAGACAGACAGCACAGACACACAGCATAGACACACAGCATAGACACAGCACAGACACACAGCACAGACACAGCATAGACACACAGCATAAACACAGCATAGACACACAGCATAGACACAGCATAGACACACAGCACAGACAGACAGCACAGACACACAGCATAGACACACAGCATAGACACACAGCACAGGCACAGCATAGACACACAGCATAGACACAGCACAGATACAGCATAGACACACAGCACAGACACAGCACAGACACACAGCATAAACACACAGCATAGACACACAGCACAGACACAGCACAGATACAGAATAGACACAGCACAGGCACAGCATAGACACACAGCATAGACACACAGCACAGACACAGGATAGACACACAGCACAGACACAGCACAGACACACAGCATAAACACACAGCACAGACACACAGCATAGACACAGCATAGACACACAACATAGACACAGCACAGACACACAGCATAGACACACAGCACAGACACAGCATAGACACAGCATAGACACAGCACAGACACAGCATAGACACACAGCATAAACACACAGCACAGACACAGCATAGACACACAGCACAGACACAGCACAGACACAGCATAGACACACAGCATAGACACACAGCATAGACACAGCACAGACACACAGCACAGACACAGCATAGACACACAGCATAGACACAGCATAGACACAGCACAGACACAGCACAGACACACAGCATAGACACACAGCACAGACACAGCATAGACACAGCACAGACACAGCACAGACACACAGCATAGACACACAGCACAGACACAGCATAGACACACAGCATATACACACAGCATAGACACAGCATAGACTACGAATTGCTGCATTATTGGCGCAAAATAATAATAATAATAAGGGTTTTCCCCTTTTTCTGGTAACAAAACTGAAACTTTATTTTACAAGGATTCATGTCTGCATTAACCACAATACTTGCAGTCAAAATGCAAACAAAAAACACACTATGATAATATATGATTGTCTTTGAAACTGACTGGTCCACACCAGAGACAGCTTTCTTTAGAGCCTAATCTCAATTGGTGCTAGACCAGATGACGCCAAGGACAATGCATATATTATCAGAGTGTGTTTTTTGTTTGCATTTTGATTGCAAGTATTATAGTTAATGCAGACATGAGTCCTTGTAAAAAAAGGTTTAAGTTTTGTTGCCAGAAAAAAGTGGAAAAACCCTATTATTATATTTTGGTACTGGCAAAGGAGGTCCAATGATGTGGCGCAATAGAGTTCACGTTTTGATTTAAAGCTTTCGTGACTGCAGGGATTCATATTCTTGGTTCTTTCGGTAAAGTCACGTAGAAGGGAAACAATAAAATAATAAAAAAATTTAAGAATAAAAATCTAAAACAATAAAATTCTCACTATCGTTTTATATTTTTCTTATTTTGTTTCCCTTCTACGCGACTTTACTGAAAGAACCAAGAATATAGAGTTCACGTTATTAGAAAAATAGAGTTCACGTTATTAGAAAAAAACACGTTACCAGGTAAGGTCCAAAGGGCCACGTAGCTCTTCTTGTTCAGGAGCGACGTGGTTATCACAAATGATAGCTCCACGAAGTGGGGCTTACCCTGCGCACATTTATAGCGGAAGCCAAAAACTCTGAACGCGTGGTGACGTTTACTCGAAATGTGGAGGGGAAAAACCGGAAGGACCCGGAGAAAAAATCCACGCGACCACGGGGAGAGAGAGAGAGATGCGAACTCCAAATATATGGGCTTTAGGGTCGAGATCGAACCCACGATCAACTGTATACCAGGCGAGGTGGTTAACATCTCCTAGCCACCATGATCATGATGATCGAGAGAGAGAGACACGCAAACTCCAAATACACAGCAGCAGGTGTCAGGGTCGGGATCGAACCCCACGATCTCCTGCATACCAGGCGAGGTAGTTAACATCTCCTAGCCGCCGTGATGATGATGATTGAGAGAGAGAGAGACACCGCAAACTCCAAACATACAGCAGCAGGCGTCAGGGTCGGGATCGAACCCACGATCTCCTGCATACCAGGCGAGGTGGTTAACATCTCCTAGCCGCCGTGGCAGCCCCAAATAGCAGGACTAGTGTGGTGGACTCTGTCACGACGGACTCTGCGCGAGTCGTCCTGGTAAGGGGACTTCATCGTTCCAAACAAACGCCATCACGAACACTTGTAGGGCACACTCGTGGGGGGGGAGGGATCTTGGCATTGGAAGTTTATGAATGTGTACATGCACGTTGTTATGTGAGTGTGAGGTGTGTAGAGCGGTTAGCGCTACGCTGCGCTACGAATCCCTGCTAACCCGAGTTCCATTTCCCGGCTCACGGCCACCAACACCGGTGACGATTATCTGAACCGGTCATGGGCCTCCGCTAGGTCGACCTCAACCTCAAATTAGTACCTGGTGTTTTATGTTAACATCACCTAACAGTTCATAATAAAGGTTATTGGGTTAGATCGCGTTATTTATAAATGTGTTGCAACCCTCCGCCACGTTGACAAATGACAAATAGTTCACTACTTTTGCCCACCGGTGTGATGAAGAGTGAATCCACAACATTTACAATTTTAGAGTACAACGTTTCGCTGGTAATTACATCCAGCATCATCAGGCAATTTGCCAATGATGCTGGATGTATATTGTAATGTTGTGGATTCACTCTTCAACACACCGTTGGGCTAAAGTAGTGAACTATTTGTCTTTTGTCAACGTGACATATTTTTTACTGATTGGCCGTGTCGGGTGGTGGAGGGTTGCGACACATTTATAAATAACGCGATCTAACCCAAAAACCTTCATCTATATATATAAAAGGGAAATTTGTGGATATCTGTGTCTGTTCAAAATGTTTAGCGTACTTCCCAACATGCTACAAACTTGAAATTTGGCATGTGGGTAGCTTCCATACTGTACACAATGTAAAAAGTATAAAAATAGACTTTTGTATATTTTTTTTTGGGGGGGGGGGGGGCGGAAATAATGGATATAATAGATTGCACGGCAAGTGAGCGGTGACGTCACATCTGTGATGTCACCCGCATGCGGCAGCGTTACGCAGTGTGCCTGCTGACGTCACGCATCCCCCCCCCCCCCGACCCTCTGCGTAGGCCATGTATCCCGCACAAATACGCGGCCAAACTCCCCATAAGAAACGACGCATGGTCACCTACACGCGTTGTTTCTCGGGTAACGCAAAGAACCATGCAGCATCATCATCTCTATTCGTCCATTGAATAAACTTAGAACTAGGACTAAACTATTAATTTCCGTGCGAAGAACGGGCACACCTGCTAGTAATTAATAATATTGGTCTCGAAGGCCTACGTGTTAAACATCACCAAACAGCACTGACCTCAAAATGTCTGTTAATGCTACATGGGGGATCTTTGTCTTTGTTATCTTTGTCTATATGCCTATGTGAGTGCGAGCTGGTGCATCGGCCAGTCATCTCAGTCAACCCATGGCACCACCTGGGTCTGTCCCCGGTGACCCTCCTACAAGCGGGCGTTCGAAACTCCACGTGGCACTGAAAGTGCACCTGGCCTGGCAACAGGCGTCGAGGTGTCATCACCGCCACTGCTGTTGTTGTTGTTGTTGCTGAGACGAGGATGACGGTGGTGCGGTGGTGGTGGTGGTGGTGCTCCTCCCACCCTGTGGCGAGCACGTGCCGTTGTCCCTGAGCGCGTAGCCCTCGGCGCAGCCGCAGAGCACTGTGCCGTTGTCCCCTCGCTCCCAGCAGAAGTGCTCGCAGCCTCCGTTCCGGTAGCCACACGTGCGCGTGTCTGCCACGCCGCCACCAAAGCCGAGGCAAACACACAGACAAAGATCAAAGATCCCCCGCGGTAGCCTTAAGGGGGCTGTTGGGGGGCAAGTGGTGTGAGCGAGCAACAGCAGCTATGAATGCCGGCACCGTGGCACACGATGGGGTGGGTGAGTGGGGTGGCCAGTTATTATTGTTCAGCCACCTTTGTCTCGCCAGTGGCGATGTTTACACATCACACCAGGTACTAATTTGAGGCTGAGTCGACCTAGGGGAGGCCCAGGACCGGTTCAGATAATCGTCACCGGTGTTGGCCGTGAGCTGGGAAATTTAACTCTGGTCGGCAGGTTCGGAGCGCAGCGCGCTAACCGTAGCGCCACCGCTCCCCGCTTGTGACCAAACACACACAGCCGCTTTGGATCGTCATCGCTAAGTAAATACAGTATTTATGCAGTGTTTATACGACTTCATTGTATTGGAATGTTGTTTTAAATTTAGACTTTAAACTTTCGTGACTGCAGTCACGTAGATAGAAAAAATAACAACAATAAAAACCACGACTTTTCGATTGAAACACAAGCGGTCTTCTTCACCTACACCTGAAGAAGACCCGCTTGTGTCGCGATCGAAACGTCGTGGGTTTTTTGCTTTTAATTTAGATTGTTGTTTTCTATCTACGAGACTTTACCGAAAGAACCAAGAATATGAATGTTGTTTTGTCTAGGGTTTGTACATGTTTATTTAAATTAACTTGTCTTTAGTTTATTTGGCATAAAGTACAGCACTTATTTCAATTGTGATGTTGTCTGTTATTGGTTGCCGTGTACCAAACCGCATTATTTAGGTCAGGCTTAAGTATTGAACATCGCGGTTTTGGCTTTCGCGGCACTTTCCGAGAACAGAATCCTCCGAGGGTCTCATGTCCTGTAAAATCAGCTGCATCTGACGGGTTTCATCCAATCAGAGTGATGATCAAGAAGCAACCATGCTGTCGATTTAAATGTACGGTAGACTCGATTATCCCCGCTAGGGACGTGGAGGACGGCCGCGGATATTTAAAAATCATGGATAATCCAAAATTATAAATTTTCCGTTTCTCTGCCGTAGCACAGTTTCGTAAATTAAAGCTCACAAAATAAATGAAAGCTCACAAAATAGATAAATCACCCCAAATGAAGCACAACTGACCATTTTGATTGTTACTCTTTCTATTTAGAAGGAATACTAACGATCGACGGATCAATGCGCGTGCTCAGTGATAACACTTTCCTGCTTCCGCGCAGAAGACTCCGCCCACTAAGTGGACGACAACAGAGCCACGCCAATCAAAATCAATCAAACTCCGCCCACCGTTGTAAATATATGCAACTACTGTACTGTAGAGGCGATCACATGGGTTTCGGATTAACCGGAGCAACATATTTTCTCGGTTTAAGCACGTGACTTGTAATGAACATTTCCCAGAATAACTATGTATAACTGTTCTTAGAGTGTATTCATTTGAGCTTAAGGGAAAATGCATGAGTTTTTCATTTTTGTCAATCTCAGGTGCGCCGATTAATCTGCACATCGGATAAACCGCACGCGAATAAGTGACACGTAAACTCACCCCCACGAAAAGTGCGTGTGTGTGTGTGGGGGAGGGGGGTCTCATAGAGCCAAGCGAAGGCTGCCTCACTGATCTCGCAGTTGACGCCTTGGTAGCCATCTGGACAGACACACGAGTACGAGTTGAGCGCGTCCTTGCAGGCCCCCGCGTGGCAGGGGCTCGAGGCGCATTGGTCTCCATCTTGACATGAGAACAGAGGACGAATGTGTGTGTGAGAGAGAGAGAGAGGCGATGCCACCGCCACAGTGGCTATGAGATGTTAACTACCTCGCATGTTATACATGGGTTCGATACCGACCCTAACGCCTGCTGTATATTTGGAGTTTGCGTGTCTCTCTCTCTCTCTCCCCGTGGTCGCGTGGATTTTTCACCAGAGTCCTCCGGTGTTGTCCTCCACATTTAGAAACATGCGTGTAGAGTATTTGCCTGCTATAAATTTGCACACGATAAGCCACTTCGTTGAGGCTATCATTTGTGATATGCCGGGTCGCTTCTGAAAAAAAGAGCTATATAGCTCAGTGGGCATTACCTGGTAAAATACAAATGTATGTCTGGGAAGCTTAAATATTGACATTTGGAGGTGTTGGCGGTTCTCATAAAATAGTCTGACGATGTCGCTGTTGCCCTTGAGTGAGCTGCAGACTTCTCCATCAAAAGTTGCCTGAGATTCATCAGCCGCTTTCCCATTCGAACGTGTGACATGAGTCGTAATCTCTTGATGCCACCGTCTGCCAGGAAATGATTCCGGAAATGAATCGAGGACCCGTCCGACCCAAGTCTTGTTATTTATGTAGTTAATTGTTAAAAATTCGGTCACAGTCCCTATGATCACTGTTACATTGCATTTATGGCTTTATTTTGGTGATTTCGAAAACGTTTTTTGGTTTGGCCATGTTTGTTTTGTTGTAGTACGGAGTTAGACTGATGGCCTTAATCTAAGTTGTCTTGTAGTTGTTGTTGTTGTTTGACTTGCATCCCACTGGGATTTTTGCACACAGCGTTGGTGTACGGTGCTTTTTTCAGGAATATTTTGCTGTTTTTTTCCTGGATTTTCTGTTTGCACAGTCACGAAGTCACTTTAAGACTATTTTCTTGTTCGTGTTTTTGTTTTTTGTTTGTTGCGGTTGCACCCGATTCAAGAGCCGAATGGCTCGCAGGGCTATACCAAATAAATGGAACTATGAACTAAATCTGCCTTTGGAACACGGAGCAGCCAATCGTCGTCAGGCTGGCTGCTGCTATACGGCAACAGGCTGTGAAGCTTCGTGTTCAGCCGCTCATAAACATTCATCATGCGACTGCTTCGACATCACAAGAACTGATTTTAACGCAACCCCGCAAAAAAGATTTTCTGACCGGGGGTTTGCGAATCGCAGGAATGTAAATTATGATTGCGAAAAATTTGTTTTTTTTTTAATATTCCGTGCACCACCGGTGTACCGCCAATACGTTCAGTTGGTCGTGAGCTTAGCACCCACCTACCTTCATCACCCTGCCCCCCCCCCCCAAACCGCGAGAGTTGAGTGTCCTGGCTCTGATATAAGTGGCGCCCAACTGCCCATAGGCCAACCACGTCCACTGCCCAGTCAGCACTGCCCACGCTGCTCGTAATATCACGAGGCCCAGGACCATTTTGAACGGGAGACAAAAATCCCAATATTTTTTTTATCGAATCTCACGGACAACCGGGACAATCCTTCCCGGACCCAAACCGGCACATATTGGCAGCTTCACTCAGGGGAACGGTGATGCCGAACTGGCACCGCTCAGAGCCTGAGTTGTGATCCAGGTTCTCAAGTGCAGTGAGTCGATGGTCTCGGCGCGGTTTGGAATCACTTACATAAAGACCTACGTCGAAACCCAACAGACTCGTACGGAGACTCGCAGACTCATGCAGATACCCATTAGTTGACTTTGCGCAGGCACATTTAGACTCGCATGGAGACCCATAGGGTTACACATCGGCCAACATCTGTTCGAGAGTGACGTGTCTTGCCCAAGCCCACTGATAATCATTTGAGGTCTCCTACTTGGGTAAATTCTCCTCCTCCTACCTCTCAGTGTAATTCCAAAAGGCATTTTTTCTCCGTCTACTTGACATTAAAGGGAAGTGGTGTGTGATGGCATGTTTGGGCTTTACATATAACAACAACCGGCATTCGCCACGAAGTGGCGGTAACGTCACCACGGTGCTTGTGCCAGGCTATGTGCACGTTAAGGTCACGTGAATTGTCGAACGCCCGCTGCCAGGTGATCACGGGACAGACCCAGCAGGTGCCATGCGTTGACTTACTGAGATGACTGGCCGATGCACCACCTGTGCCCTCGATTGTGCTAACTACATACAAACAAAGACAAAGATCCCCCGTATAGCCTTGACAGACTGTAGGGGCAAGTGCTGTTACCGAGCACCTATGAAGGCCGGAACAGTACACGAGGGGGTGGGTGGCCAGCACCACGCACGACCACTTTTGTCTCCCCAGTGGCGATGTTTACACACTGCACCAGGCACTCATTTGAGGCTGAGTCGACCTAGGGGAGGCCCGGGACCGGTTCAGATAATCGTTACTGGTGTTGGCCGTGAGCGGGAATTGAACCCGGGTCGCCAGGTTCATAGCGCAGCGTAGCGCTAACCGCTACACTACCGCTCCCCATTACCGCTCCCCACATACACACACGCACGCACGTGTCTCACCTGCGTATTTGTACCAGAATGATTTCTGAAAAACAAGCCAACACGCGTGTGAGCTCAGCACCACTCACAGCCGCACAAGTCGAGTGAAATACTCAGGTCAGAGTTGCGCTATCGGCGTCGTGATTTGAGCCAAAGAATCAATTCGGAAATCTCGCCGAGCAGTGTATCAATATAACCCCGTGAGTAAGAGCAGTGGTTCTCAACCGGGGGGTACGTGGCAATGTCCCAGGCACGTAGTAAGGTGATTTCTAAATGTGTGAAATGATATCATACGTGAGAGTCATTGGTGAACAATCACGTATGAATCGGCCAAGATAACATAACTACGACAACATTTAATCCCGTATGGTATAAAATATATTTTCTAAACTCATTGATCGTAAACAACGTGGTTTCCAAGAGTAACCAACGAATACATTCACGTCACGCCAGTTAAATTTAGTTGTATTCGCTTGCAGTTACCGGCGAGTTAGGATAACCACGCAAAATTGACGATTGGTTAAAATATCGATGCTGATTATTCATACATTTATTTCCACGTTGGGGTCAGGCAAGGGGCGGGGGGGGTGCTCGGTTGAAACAAAATTCCACAAGGGGTGTGCAACACAGGAGCCCAACAAGGTTGAGAACCACTGAGTGAGAGAACAGCACCAGCGGAAGCAGCTACTATGGCAGACGTCACCTCTGCTACGTAGAGTCAGGGGGGTGAGCGTCTTTGAACTGCCATTGTCGCAGAGAAGTCATGGCCGTCGCTTGAGTCAGATTTCACATGTATTCTTGGGAGCTCTTGCGTGTTTGTTTTTTAGCAAATGTAAATGCAGAACCAACTTTCAATGTGTGAAGGCAATGTGTTGTCAAGTTATCGGTGACCAGGCTCAGACCATCAACCCGCTACACTTTTAATAACCCGGTTTAATCGCATGGTGCCTATCGGAGTACAACTGGAACATATTTCGTACAAAAAAACAATATTTCTGCTGTATGTGCCCAAAGAAAGCTTATCACTGAACTCTGTTAATGTTCAACTCAATAATCCAGATGTACTTTGAAATATTAACAGTCAACTCAAAGTGTATGCGCGACACATGCACACGTATGGTGCTTACAAAGACAAAGATCCCCCTATAACAGAATCAACATTTTTATTTAGACCGGAGGAATCCGATTATCTATGAAGTTATTTTTTCACAGGCTGTCGGAGTCAATTCTGTTATTAGGCGCCTATGAAGGCCATCGTAGCACACGAGGGAGTGGCGTGGCCAGAACCACGCTCGACTACCTCTGACTCCCCAGTGCTGATGTTTGCACACTGCACCAGATCGCTATTTAAGGCTAGGTCGACTTAGCGGACGTCCAGAACAGGTTCAGATATTCGTTAAATGTTATAGACACCGCAGCAAGAACAGGCAACCAGTCACGACTACGCGGCGGTGATGTCACCACGGCACTTGTGCCAGGCTGGGTGCACCTCGAGGCTTCGTGAAGTGTGGAAGCCTTGCTGGCAAGAGGTCACGGGACAGATCCAGGTGTTACGAGTCTACAGAGAGGGCCTGTTGTTGGAGAGAGCCCGTCTCCAGGTCATCTCTGCCCAATGCCGTAACTGGTCTCGGACTTCGGATGAGGGTGCAGCTGCTGCCCACCTCAGCCAATGAACCCATAACACCTGAGTGTGCCCCGCGATCTCCTGCCAGTGAGCGTTCCTCACGTTCACGTGGCCTCATTGGTGCACCGAGCCTGGCACAAGCACCGTGATGACGTCACCGCCACTTAGTGGTGAATGGCAGCTGTTGTTGTGACCTGGCTCGCTGTGAGTAGAGTGAGTGTGAGTGCGGGGAGCGGTGGTGCAGCGGTGAGCGCGCTGCGCTACGAACCCGGAGAACCCGAGCGCGATTATCTGAACCGGTCCTGGGCCTGTCCGAGGTTGACTCAGCCTTAAATGGGTACCTGGTGCGATGTGTGAACATCGCCACTTGGGAGACAAAGGCGGCCGGAACCTGGTACTGGCCACCCACCACCTAGTGTGCCGTTCCGGTCTTCATAGGTGCTACTCGCTAAAGGCACTTGCCCCAACAGTCTGTCACAGGGCTATACGGGGGAGCTTTGTCTTTGTTGTGTGAGGAGTCTCAATGCTCACTGCCGCCTCCTTGGCGGGGAAGATCTCCATGGCTTCCTCGAGGCTGCAACGCTCCTCCATGCATTCACGCTCCAGGGAGCCTGGGAAGAACTCCTCCAGCCCGTGGTCATTGACTCTGCGGACTCGCAGTAGTCGAGACGCCTCCCGCCGTGACACGAACACTGGTGGTGACACGAACACTGGTGGTGACATGAACACTGGTGGTGTCACGAACACTGGTGGTGACACGAACACTGGTGGTGACGTGAACACTGGTGGTGTCACGAACACTGGTGGTGTCACGAACACTGGTGGTGTCACGAACACTGGTGGTAACATGAACACTGGTGGTGACATGAACACTGGTGGTAACACGAACACTGGTGGTGTCACGAACACTGGTGGTGTCACGAACACTGGTGGTGTCACGAACACTGGTGGTGTCACGAACACTGGTGGTGTCAAGAACACTGGTGGTAACATGAACACTGGTGGTGTCACGAACCCTGGTGGTGACACGAACACTGGTGGTGACATGAACCCTGGTGGTGACACGAACACTGGTGGTGACACGAACACTGGTGGTGACGTGAACACTGGTGGTGTCACGAACACTGGTGGTGTCACGAACACTGGTGGTGTCACGAACACTGGTGGTGACACGAACACTGGTGGTGACATGAACACTGGTGGTGTCACGAACACTGGTGGTGACATGAACACTGGTGGTGTCACGAACACTGGTGGTGTCACGAACACTGGTGGTGACATGAACCCTGGTGGTGACACGAACACTGGTGGTGACATGAACACTGGTGGTGTCACGAACACTGGTGGTGTCACGAACACTGGTGGTGTCACGAACACTGGTGGTGACACGAACACTGGTGGTGACATGAACACTGGTGGTGTCACGAACACTGGTGGTGTCACGAACACTGGTGGTGTCACGAACACTGATGGTGTCACTAACACTGGTGGTAACACGAACACTGATGGTGGCAGGGGGGTGGCGGAGATGGTGATGACAGTGAAGGAGTTGGCGTTGGTGGTCATGGTGATGAAGGTGGTGGTGGTGACAGGGGTGGTAGTCGTATTGATCGTGGTGGTGTTGATGTTGATTGTGGTAGTGTGGATTTGGATGGTGGTGGTGGTGGTGACAGGGGTGGTAGTCGTATTGATGGTGGTGGTGTTGATGTTGATTGTGGTAGTGTGGATTAAGATGGTGGTGGTGACAGTGGTGGTAGTCGTATTGATGGTGGTGGTGTTGATGTTGATTGTGGTAGTGTGGATTTGGATGGTGGTGGTGGTGACAGTGGTGGTAGCCGTATTGATGGTGGTGGTGTTGATGTTGATTGTGGTAGTGTGGATTTGGATGGTGGTGGTGGTGGTGGTGACAGTGGTGGTAGCCGTATTGATGGTGGTGGTGTTGATGTTGATTGTGGTAGTGTGGATTTGGATGGTGGTGGTGGTGGTGGTGACAGTGGTGGTAGCCGTATTGATGGTGGTGGTGTTGATGTTGATTGTGGTAGTGTGGATTTGGATGGTGGTGGTGGTGACAGTGGTGGTAGCCGTATTGATGGTGGTGGTGTTGATGTTGATTGTGGTAGTGTGGATTTGGATGGTGGTGGTGGTGACAGTGGTGGTAGTCGTATTGATGGTGGTGGTGTTGATGTTGATTGTGGTAGTGTGGATTTGGATGGTGGTGATGACAGGGGTGGTAGTCGTATTGATGGTGGTGGTGTTGATGTTGAGTGTGGTAGTGTGGATTTGGATGGTGGTGGTGGTGACAGTGGTGGTAGTCGTATTGATGGTGGTGGTGTTGATGTTGATTGTGGTAGTGTGGATTTGGATGGTGGTGGTGACAGTGGTGGTAGCCGTATTGATGGTGGTGGTGTTGATGTTGATTGTGGTAGTGTGGATTTGGATGGTGGTGGTGGTGGTGGTGACAGTAGTGGTAGCCGTATTGATGGTGGTGGTGTTGATGTTGATTGTGGTAGTGTGGATTTGGGTGGTGGTGGTGGTGACAGTGGTGGTAGCCGTATTGATGGTGGTGGTGTTGATGTTGATCGTGGTAGTGTGGATTTGGATGGTGGTGGTGGTGGTGGTGACAGTGGTGGTAGCCGTATTGATGGTGGTGGTGTTGATGTTGATTGTGGTAGTGTGGATTTGGATGGTGGTGGTGGTGGTGACAGTGGTGGTAGCCGTATTGATGGTGGTGGTGTTGATGTTGATTGTGGTAGTGTGGATTTGGATGGTGGTGGTGGTGACAGTGGTGGTAGTCGTATTGATGGTGGTGGTGTTGATGTTGATTGTGGTAGTGTGGATTTGGATGGTGGTGATGACAGGGGTGGTAGTCGTATTGATGGTGGTGGTGTTGATGTTGAGTGTGGTAGTGTGGATTTGGATGGTGGTGGTGGTGACAGTGGTGGTAGTCGTATTGATGGTGGTGGTGTTGATGTTGATTGTGGTAGTGTGGATTTGGATGGTGGTGGTGACAGTGGTGGTAGCCGTATTGATGGTGGTGGTGTTGATGTTGATTGTGGTAGTGTGGATTTGGATGGTGGTGGTGGTGGTGGTGACAGTAGTGGTAGCCGTATTGATGGTGGTGGTGTTGATGTTGATTGTGGTAGTGTGGATTTGGGTGGTGGTGGTGGTGACAGTGGTGGTAGCCGTATTGATGGTGGTGGTGTTGATGTTGATCGTGGTAGTGTGGATTTGGATGGTGGTGGTGACAGTGGTAGTAGTCGTATTGATGGTGGTGGTGTTGATGTTGATTGTGGTAGTGTGGATTTGGATGGTGGTGGTGACAGTAGTGGTAGCCGTATTGATGGTGGTGGTGTTGATGTTGATTGTGGTAGTGTGGATTTGGGTGGTGGTGGTGACAGTGGTGGTAGCCGTATTGATGGTGGTGGTGTTGATGTTGATTGTGGCAGTGTGGATTTGGATGGTGGTGGTGACAGTGGTAGTAGTCGTATTGATGGTGGGGGTGTTGATGTTGATTGTAGTAGTGTGGATTTGGATGGTGGTGGTGATGGTGGTGACAGTGGTGGTAGCCGTATTGATGGTCGTGGTGTTGATGTTGATTGTGGTAGTGTAGATTTGGATGGTGGTGGTGGTGGTGACAGTGGTGGTAGTCGTATTGATGGTGGTGGTGTTGATGTTGATTGTAGTAGTGTGGATTTGGATGGTGGTGGTGGTGACAGTGGTGGTAGTCGTATTGATGGTGGTGGTGTTGATGTTGATTGTAGTAGTGTGGATTTGGATGGTGGTGGTGATGGTGAAGGCGGTGGTAGTCGCAGCAGTGGTGGTAATGTATCAATAATAATCATGAATAATATTCATGTTAGTAGTAATTGATTATTGTTAAAGATGGCTCAGTCACAAACAAATCCAACTTTGAATGTGATCGGGTTTTTGTTTCTTGCAGCTTTGTATTTGGGAATAACTGAGAGAGACCAACAGTAACACCATCGCTGCTCCGTTCTCTCTTGAGAAGAGACGGCAACTTGACAGTCTTTGTTCAACCAAGGCGGAGAGTTAATCTTCCCCAAAAACAGTGCGACAATCAGGCGTAAAGGTTGACATCGCCGCGAGAATATTGTCAGCATTGATTGTGCTCGTGGTCCCTTCAACTGGGTGCCGAGTTTGGATTCTCTGCTGAATGGTTGACCGGGCAGTTTCTGTTGCTGCCTTTCGGCTATGGAATTCGGCTTATTTCAAATACATCTGTTCCAAAAGTCCTCTCGACTTGTTATTTTTATCTGTGGGGTTGCATTTTGTGGGGTGTGTATTTGTTTTATCACCTGCCTTTGTGATGTTATTAAGTGTTTACCGTGCTTTTTTGAATCACTATGAATTTAATGTTCTCGAAAATTAGTTTTTTTGGGGGATTAGATCGCGTAAATATAAATGTGTCGCTAAACCTGCCACACACATTTATATATATACGTCACCTAACCCAACGAACCCTATATTATGGCTGATATTGGTGTCACGAAAGCATACGTGTTAAACTGAATTTTACGTTCTGTTTTTAGCTCTGTACAGCACCTCGCGATATCATAATCCTCTAATAATTTCTCTCATAATGTGTTACAAAACAGACTGAGCTCCAAGGAAAGCAAGAACAATAGTCATGGAGACCATCCGCTTTGTATTTTTTCACCAAATAATGTGTTTGTCAAATGAAATGTTGATACATTAATGTGTAACCCTAATGTACAACACGTTTTTGTCCGAGTTCGTTTCTCGTGAATTTCTGCTGACGTGGGGAATTCAGGTTAGTCTGTGAAGCAAGACCAAACACTGAAAATTCCGACTGGACAACGATCTATAATCTGTGCTGTCGTGGACTTGCTGTATCACTCATCTGGCTAAGAAGACACTGAACTCGCTTGATTTTTTTCTTTCCATGACAAAACCTCTTTAACTGCAAACAAGTAGTACTACTCACTTCAGTTCAGTTTATGTTGAATTACCCTGTGGACAATAAGCTCTTAAATCGGGTTTCATCAACGAAAAACAACACCGCCGCTTCCCCGACATATGCAACAAATCACAGCAAATGAAGTGCATAACAAACAATAACAGATAAGCGAAATACAAAAATAGATAGCAAATCATAATCGCTATATCAACATTTTTTTTACAAAAAATAAGATAAATATGTATTATCAAAATAGCACGCTTTATCTTTAAAAAAAATACTCATTTAAATCTACCATATTGTAACGCAGATACGGCCTTAAAGACGATGGCATTATAGTGAAGATTTACAAAAATTGGTAAACAGCAAGATTTTCAGCGCACACACTTTTATTTTTCACCCCAGAATAAATCACATTTGATGGACTGAATACAAGTGGGCGGTGTCCTTCCCGATTTGCTTAATTTTCTTTATGCAAGCCACCCACTTTTATTCAGCATATCAAATGTGATTAATTCTGGGGTCAAATATTTTATTTTGTATCTTAGCGTGCAATTAGAAATCTGTGCATTGAAAAACTTGCTTTTTTGCGATTAATTTTACGACCCTCTAGAGATGACAATGATGGCTTTGCCTGTGTCAACTCTTGTCCATATCATTACTGAAAGCATGCCGATACCAATGCCAGCCATTCGCCACGAAGTGACGGTGACGTCACCACGGCGCCTGTGCCAGGCTAGGTGCACTTTTGGGGCCATATGAAGTGTCGAAGGTTCGCTGACAGGAGGTCTCGTGACAGACCCAGGTGCAATGGGTCGGCTGACTGAGATGACTGGTAGATTTACTAGCTGTACCCCCTACTCTGCCGACTTGCTGTATTTTAGCTGCCCGGCACTCCGCTCATTGTTGTGAGCGTTGCTCCTCCACCCTCCGTTGTTGTTGGAAGGGTGACAGTCTCCAACTGCCCAGTAGAGTCTTTCACGAGCCTCCTCCACAGAGTCTGATCCTGACACCGCTGGTACCAGTCGTCGGCAAGTCCACTCAGCTCCACATCCTCCCTGACCGCATCAGTCCATCTCTTCTCCAGCCCATGTCGTGTCCGTTTAGCCCCCTCTATTCGGCCAAACAGAAGCTGCTTGGGCATGCGGTGGCTGGGCATGCGGGCTACATGACGCAGCCAACGCAGCCTTGCCTGGCGGAGGAGCTCACTGATGGGAATGTGTCCAGATCTTTCAAGGATTTGTGAGCTCCTCACACAATCCAGCCTTGTCAAACCCAGGATGGATCATAGGCATGCCAGCCTTAATGTTTCTAACCGGCGCAGATTTTCCATTAGAGAGGTTTCACAAGCATGGAGAAGGGAGGGCATGACTGTGGCCGAGAAGACTCGAAGCTTCGTGGGGAGCGACAGACCAGGTAGCTTCCACACAGCATTGCGCAGCCGATGAAAAGCTAATGCCGCCCGACTGATTCGGAGTGAGACTTCTGCTGTCAAACCGGAGCTGTCAAACCCGCTTACACACTCACCAATTCACATGCCCACTCTCCCACACGTTCACTCGCCCATATACTCACGTCACTCACCACACTGCAGGTCATGACACCTCTCTTGCTCCTTCCCTCGCAACTGGTCGACTTCGGAATCCCCTCCCATCTTATCTTTCCTCCCAAATTATTCTCCCGCCACCCCAAAAAAGTAAAATTGTAATCCCGAAGCTCAAAAAATGAGCAGCGCACAGAGCATTACTGTGGTGTCAATTAGCTGGGTCTCCACAATCCACACAAAACCATCGCGAACCAGGCAGTCCCCGTTTAATTCTGCACGTGAATGACTGTAGCACTGGATTGTGCCTCCGAGAATTGGGTTGCGATTTTCGGTGTTTTTTTTACAAGTTAATATTTCGTGATGTAAAAATCACAAAAAGTCATAACAGCAGTGTACATCGCTTGAGCATTACTCTTTCGCACCGTACGTAGCCAACCGTGGTAATCGGAGATGCAAACAATGGTTGTCCGATGGAGAAACTGGACTCCGCCACGGGAATGTGGAATTTCAAACACTGACTCAGGGCTGTATACGGGAGACATGAGCATCAATATCCTCATGCCTCATTTGAGCAGCAAATCAACGTTTGACTCGACTCCGGGTAACAGGCGCCAAAGAAGTTCAACATACATAGCCCGCGCATGCTTATCGAGATGAAAAGGTGAAAGAAACAATGGGGTTTTTGATGGGACATAAAACAAAGTGCTTCACCGGCTCAGTCCACCGCTGCATTAGCTCGAAATGGACCGATCCGTCCTGGGTGACGCTGAGAATACCTGCAGTGGCTGCATGGAGAAGGAGGAGGAGGCAAGATGAAAAGAGAAGGAGCTTCCACAGACGCAGCGACATGTCGCGATGGAGGCCTGCTGCCCTATATAGTTTTGGAGTTGGGAGGATTTGGCTGAGCGGACGCGAGGGGGAGGAGAGTCACCGCCCTCCTCCCGCCCCCCGCCAAGGTCATGGTGGCTTAGCTGGGTCAAAAATCCAAGCAAACAGAAGGCGGGGGCTGATAATGGCAGAGGAGTACACTTCCAAATGAACCCAAATTCATGTCTCGCCCGCTCACTCGCTCGCTCGCGCACTCGTACACCGCCTCAACCTGACACTCACACCGGACACACTCACTCAAGACACTCGGATGCCCAAGCCACATTCGACCACTGTCGTAGCATCGTATCGCCAGGGCTCGATTTTACTGGTAGGAACCTCCTGGTTACACCACCAGCCCACAGGGGATTATTGTGTCCGTCCGTACGTCGTGCATCCAAAAATGGGAGAGGTGGGGCTGGGTGGAGAGGGGAGGGTGGGGAGGGGCTGGGTGGAGAGGGTGGGGCTGGGTGGGGAGGGTGGGTAGGGGCTGGGTGGGGTGGGGCTGGGTGGGGAGGGGCTGGGTGGGGAGGGGCTGGGTGGGGAGGGGCTGGGTGGAGAGGGTGGGGCTGGATGGGGAGGGGAGGGTGGGGAGGGGCTGGGTGGGGCTGGGTGGGGTGGGGCTGGGTGGGGAGGGGCTGGGTGGGGAGGGGCTGGGTGGAGAGGGTGGGGCTGGGTGGGGAGGGGAGGGTGGGGAGGGGCTGGGGGGGGATGGGCTGGGTGGGGAGGGGCTGGGTGGAGAGGGGAGGGTGGGGAGAGGCTGGGTGGGGAGGGGAGGGTGGGGAGGGGCTGGGTGGGGAGGGTGGGGCTGGGTGGGGAGGGTGGGGAGGGGCTGGGTTGGGAGGGTGGGGAGGGGCTGGGTGGGGGGTGGGAGGGGGGGCTGGGTGGGGAGGGGCTGGTCACCCCGTGGTGCCCTTATAAAACTCAACGTTTAACCTACTCACGCCGGCTTGTGCCCGCCCTCACAGTCGGGCGTAGTGTGCTGAACATACCACGTGGTGGTGCTGCCGTTGTTGACCCTGGCCATTGACCGAGCAACCCAACGTTCCTACCAGCTCCTCCCTACGCAGGAGAATGTGTTTAACAACTCACTGCTCGACAGTGGACGTCTGCAAAAAAACACATGACCAAGCTGCATCGTGTACAACATCCTTTGGCACGTGGTCGTGACGGGTACCGCAAGTGCCGATCGTGTCCGTCCAGTGCTCGCTGAGCTGCATTGGTCCCCGGTTGCTGAACGAATTGCATTGTAAGGTCGCGCTCATTAGGGGCCGTCCATAAATGACGTCACGCATCTAGGGGGGGAGGGGTCAGATATTTGTGACATCAGAGTGCAGCGCCACATTAAATACGCACTACAATGACAATCGTTTAAAGTGATTTGAAGCATGTCTTATTTATTTATTTAAGGGGGGGTGGCAGAGCTTTGTGACGTCATATTTGAGGGGGGTCTGACTTTTTGTGACGCCGTGTGACGAAGGGGGGGGGTCAAAAATCGCGTGACGTCATTTATGGACGGCCCCTTACACATGTAGCACCATAGATGGAACGGTACCTCGTACAGCAGCGCCAGCCCAAGAGGGGAGGGGCTGCTGGGAGCTCAGGATCCACAGACAGCTAAGCCCCTTGGCGCCCCCAACGGGGGGGGGGGGCTGCGGGGGGTCTAGGATCCCTCGCAGCCCCACCCCTCAATGGGCAAGGGGCATCAAAGGGGACCTCCCCAGCCAATCTGGGACCAGTTGAAGACCGAAGCCGAAGACCAGCAGCTAGATAGGACCCTGGACCCCCTCGACCCGCTGTCCTTGTAAGGCCCGGGACGCTGTGTGGGCCGGTGGTGGGACTCTGGGCCGGTGGTGGGACTCTGGGTCAGTGGTGGGACTCTGGGCCGGTGGTGGGACTCTGGGCCGGTGGTGAGACTCTGGGCCAGTGGTGGGACTCTGGGCCTGTGGTGGGACTCTGGGCCAGTGGTGGGACTCTGGGCCAGTGGTGGGACTCTGGGCCTGTGGTGGGACTCTGGGCCAGTGGTGGGACTCTGGGCCAGTGGTGGGACTCTGGGCCGGTGGTGGGACTCTGGGTCGGTGGTGGGACTCTGGGCCGGTGGTGGGACTCTGGGTCAGTGGTGGGACTCTGGGCCAGTGGTGGGACTCTGGGCCAGTGGTGGGACTCTGGGCCTGTGGTGGGACTCTGGGCCAGTGGTGGGACTCTGGGCCAGTGGTGGGACTCTGGGCCAGTGGTGGGACTCTGGGCCGGTGGTGGGACTCTGGGCCAGTGGTGGGACTCTGGGCCAGTGGTGGGACTCTGGGCCGGTGGTGGGACTCTGGGCCGGTGGTGGGACTCTGGGCCAGTGGTGGGACTCTGGGTCAGTGGTGGGACTCTGGGCCAGTGGTGGGACTCTGGGCCAGTGGTGGGACTCTGGGTCAGTGGTGGGACTCCCGGCCCCGCGCCCTTATAAGGGCGAGGTCCGAGGAAGCCAGAGTCTAGACCCGCACCTTGGCTGGGTGGGGTCAGGGTCGCCTCCCCTAGGGTGATTATAGCGGAGGACCCCACAGCGTAGGCAGTGTCACGGCACGCTAGGAGTAGGCTGTCCCGAGGCTGTAGCAGTGTATCAGGACTGTTGGAGTGCTGTGTTGTAATAAAGAAGTTACCCAACTGAAGTGTCTCCGGAACTCACTACACACAAACACACACAAAGTGCTTGCCACAGATGAACTACGATACCTCGCTGACCTCGTCAAGGAGCATGAACCATCATCACGCGCACTCCGCTCGTCATCCTCGCAGCAGCAGCAGCAGCGGCGGCTTTTGGCTGCTGGCCATCGAACAGACGGCGGTCACCGCATCGCGTGGCGCTTTTGGATGCGCTTCTGCGGCCGTCTGGAATGCTCTTTCCTTCCGATATTAGGAAGCTGCTGGAGCTATGCAACTTTTAAATCATCATCTAGAATGAAAACGCATTTCTTTAAACTGCTTTTTGTGTTTAGTTTGTTGTCTTATGAAGGCCGGCACGGCACACGAGGGGGTGGGTGGCCAGCACCTCGCCCGGCCGCCTTTCTCTCCCCGGTTGCGATGTTTACACACCCGCACCAGGTACTCATTCGAGGCTGAGTCGACCTAGGGGAGGCCCAGCACCGGTTCAGATAATCGTCACCGGTGTTGGTGGCCGTGAGCGAGAATCGAACTCGGCCCGAGGGGTTCGAAGCGCAGCGTAGCGCTAACCGCTCCGCCACCACTCCCCACTCCACACACCACCCCACGGTCTCGGGATGAGAGGCCCACGCGCGTCTCTCCCCCCAAGCCCACCCCACACTGTGTTGGAGAGCCCAAGAGAGGAGATGCGAGGCACCCCAAGACCCTGGGCAACGTTCCGGACGCCGGCCTCGCACAGTGAACGCTCCCCCCGCCCGCTACCCCCGCCCGCCCGCCAGGGCAGCATTGCCACGGACCCCAAGCTGTGTAAATGCCAAGGCAACATTGCCACGGACCACAAGCTGTGTTCCTGCCAAGGCAACATTGCCACGGACCCCAAGCTGTGTTACTGCCAAGGCAACATTGCCATGGACCCCAAGCTGTGTTCCTGCCAAGGCAACATTGCCACGGACCCCAAGCTATGTTCCTGGAAAACTTCACGGATATCGTCAAGACGGCCAAGAGTCCCCTGTGTGGGCTTCAGTGGGGCCGTCTGATCGGGCAGCAGAGACACGAGAGGCCAAGAAACGACATTCCAGTCGTGGGCTGAGCTCTAGGAGGGCTAGCTCGAGCACCATCCTGCGGCGGGGAAAGGAGGCGGTGCAAGCGGTTCCTCAACTTGGAATGGATAAATCCCATCGTCGAGAAGTTTCGCTCAGACGCAGCAGCGGTCGACGTGGCCATGCTGAACAGTTTGATGGCTGATCTTCTGGAGCTGCGGGATAGTCGCTTCCGACGAGTGACGAACTGACGATGAAAGCCTGGGCGAGGGCTGAACACACCGCGTGGCTCACGCGCACGGCGGCTGAGCCCGGGGCCCCGGCCCGAACGCCGCTAATGGGTGCGTGCGACTGATATCCCGACTTAATTTTAATAAAACCGGATTTGGGCAGGATCCAGGTGCTCCGGTTTAATATAAAAAAAACGATTAAAACCCGAATGAATAAAACCGGGCCGTGCCAGCCTTGACACTGACTGGTGTTCTGGGTAATAACCTTAGTGATCACTCCTTAATTTTTGGGGTGAGATCATCAGCCAGACCCAAAGCCCCCCCTAAATTGGTTGAGAAGCACTCTATGAGACACTTCAGCACTCAGGCATTTACTAATGATGTACTTCACTCGGATATTGACAAGGTCTGTGATATCCCCAACCTGACTACGGCTTGGGAGACCTTCAGGTACACGTTTCTCCAAATTCTTAACAAACATGCTCCGTTGGTTAGATTTAAAACTAAAGGCAACCGCCCACCATGGTTTGATCCTTTGATTACAAAGCTCATGAAAACTAGGGACAAGGTTTGGGCATGTGCTCAGAAGAGTAATTTGGTCAATGACTGGCTAGAATACAGGATTTTAAGGAATAGATGCGTCAAAATAATATGGCATGCAAAAAATGCCTACTTTTCCTCCACTCTCCTGGAATCACATGGAAATGCCAGGATTTTCTGGAAAACAATCAAATGTATCGAAAAGGCATCAAAAACAGACAATCTGCCCGTTGAGCTTAACCGAAATGGGGAATATTTTTCAGATCCCCAAAAAATAGTTGACAATTTTAACCTTCATTTTTCTGAAGCTGGTAATCTTTGAGATAATGTATTGGGAGTCACCCCTGCTCATGCAAATTCCTACACCCCTGTCCAAACATAAACGAATTTAGTTTCCAGCCAATCCACGAAAGTAATGTTCTGAAACAACTCCTACCTCAAAGGATCCTCCTCTACCAGAGCAGATAGTATTCCCGTCTTTGCTCTACTAACTGTTGGCCACCTAATATACAAACCTATAGCCTGTATTTTCAACCTTTCCATCAAAGAAGCATCAGTTCCTCTAGAATGGAAACATTCCTATGTCCGTCCACTTCACAAAGGGGGCCCTAAAGATGATCCAAATAACTACCGACCTATCTCAATTTTGTCCCCGTTGATGAAAATTTTTGAAAAATTATTGACCTGCCAAATTAGCAGTTTCCTGTCCACCAACAATCTACTACATCTAAAACAATCTGGGTTTCGAAAAAAATACAGCACCACATCTGCTGCATTAGATTCTCTGAATCACATTTACAGTAGCCTTGATAATAAGCAGTACTGTGCCTGTCTTTTTCTAGACCTGTCCAAAGCTTTTGATACAGTAGACCACAACACCCTGCTTAGCAAACTAAGTTGTCTCGGTTTTTTCCGAAAACACAGTAAAATGGTTACAAAATTACCTCTTTTCTCGCACCCAAACTGTATTCACAGATGGTTGGAGGTCAAACAGTGTTAAGATAACAAAAGGGGTTCCACAGGGTTCCATCCTCGGCCCCCTTTTGTTCTCTCTTTATGTCAATGACTTGGGCAGTGACCTGGATCATTCCAGGGTAAATCTTTTTTGCAGATGACACGATACTGATTACTGCTGGCCGCTCTCCGGATGACGTGATTGCTAAGCTACAGGGTGATTTGAACAAACTACAACATCAGCTAGTTGCTCTTAAACTAGTCCTGAATACCTCCAAAACCAAGGTGTTATGCTTCTCACCAGGACTAAAGCAGGAAGTTATTTTCCCCAATTACATTCCTTAAATAATTATCAAATAGAGCAAGTCAAGATCTATAAGTATCTCGGGGTCATCCTGGATTCAAAACTGAATTTTGAAGATCACATTGATTATATTGGTAAAAAGACAAAAATTAAAATTGGTTTTCTGTATCGACACAAGCACTGCTTCCCCCCAATGTTCCATTTGGAATTGATAAAAGCTACCATACTGCCTCTACTTGACTACTGTGACATCGTGTATAAATCAGCCCCAAGTACTGTACTGAAGAAGCTTGATTCCATCTATCACTCGGCCTTAAAATTTACATTGAACTGCCCATATAGGACTCACCACTGTGATCTCTACATTGGATCAAACTTAACATCTCTTAATGTTCCACGGCTTGTGCACCAGATCTTATTTATTCACGATGTACTTACAAAAAAATCCGCAGACTACCTGCTGGATCTCCTTTCTGTTTCAAAGAACAAATTTGACCTGAGGTCTTCGCTCATTTACCAGCTTCACATTCCCTATTGCCGTACAAAAATTGGAGGAAGGGCCTTTGCTATTGATGCCCCCAGGGTCTGGAATGCTATTGCCAATAATCTGCAACTTGAATCACTACCAATGAGATCTTCTCTCAAAACTGCTCTAGAGGAGTTGTACACCCCTAGCTGTCACTGCTATTCATTGGCGTAAAATAAAATAAAATGTTTCGCTCCGGATGACGCTGCAAAGTATTATCTGTATTTTGATTTAGCATGCTGATCTTAAAGGTGCATTGAAAAATTTGATACTCCGACCGATGCTTCTGTTGTTGTGTAGTAACTCATGCAGCAGCTATGGCTCTAGGATTTGGTATTACATGTTATTTATGTAGTTTATTGTAAAAATTCGGTCACAGTCCCTGTGATCACTGTTACGTTGCAATTATGGCTTTATTTTTTGGTGACTTCGAAACGTTTTTTGGTTTGGACATGTTTGTTTTGTTGTAGTACGGAGTTATACTGATGGCCTTAATCTAAGTTGTCTTGTGGTTGTTGTTGTTGTTTGACTTGCATCCCACTGGGATTTTTTGCACACAACGTTGGTGTACGGTGCTTTTTTTTCAGGAATATTTTGCTGTTTTTTTCATGGATTTTCTGATTGCACAGTCACATAGTCACTTTAAGATGTTTTTCTTGTTCGTGTTTTTGTTTTTTTGTTTGTTGTGGTTGCACCCGATTCCAGAGCCGAATGGCTCACAGGGCTATACCAAAATAAATAAACTGACAAAAAAAATAAGGTACCCCCGCCCACTCCCCGCTCCCCCCGCCCACTCCCCGTTCCGCCCGCCCACTTCCCACTCCCCCCGCCCACTCCCCACTCCCCCCGCCCACTTCCCGCTCCCCCCGCCCACTCCCCGCTCCCCCCGCCCACTCCCCGTTCCGCCCGCCCACTTCCCACTCCCCCCGCCCACTCCCCACTCCCCCCGCCCACTTCCCGCGCCCCCCGCCCCCCGCCCACTTCCAGCGCCCCCCGCCCACTTCCCGCTCCCCCCGCCCACTCCCCGCTCCGCCCGCCCACTCCCCGCTCCCCCCGCCCACTCCCCGCTCCCCCCGCCCACTTCCCGCTCCCCCCGCCCACTTCCCGCGCCCCCCGCCCACTTCCTGCGCCCCCCGCCCACTCTCCGCGCCCCCCGCCCACTCCCCACTCCCCCCGCCCACTTCCCACTCCTCCCGCCCACTCCCCACTCCCCCCGCCCACTCCCCCCGCCCACTTCCCACTCCCCCCGCCCACTCCCCCGCCCTCTTCCTGTGGGGGAGGAGCAGGAAGATGGCGACACGAAGCGTCTTCGCTTCGCTCCTCGTCGCTACCTTCATGTCCTCTTTGCTTCCTGCGCCGGCTTCTTGCGATGGTGGGGGATGATGGTGATGATGGTGGTGATGGTGGGGGATGATGGTGATGGTGGGGGATGATGGTGATGGTGGGGGATGATGGTGATGATGGTGGTGATGGTGGGGGATGATGGTGGTGATGTTGGTGTTGATGGTTGCGGTCTGAGGATGGTGCCTGCCGTGATAGGTGCGGCTCTTGCCGCACAAGTCCGTGAAGGCTACACGGGGGAGCTTTGTACAGGGGAGCGGTGGTGCAGCGATTGGCGCGCTGCGCTCTGAACCCGGTGACCCAGGTTCGATTCCCGCTCACGGCCAACACCGGTGACGATGATCTGAACCGGTCCCGGACCATCCCCTAGGTCGACTCAGCCTCAAATGAGTACCTGGTGCGGCGTGTAAACATCGCCACTGGGGGGAGACAAAGGCGGCCGGGCGTGGTGCTGGCCACCCACCCCCTCGCGTGCCGTGCCGGCCTTCATAGGCGCTCGCTAACAGCACTTGCCTCTACAGTCTGTTAAGGCTACACGGGGGATCTTTGTCTTGCAGTGCTCAGCGCAGCGCTAACTCCGTGAATCACGGCTAACGTCAGTGGCGAGTGATGTGTGAAGTCTGCCGGCACTGACCCGTGGAGTAAAGTTTGGACAAACAACATTTTCAATATTTATACTGAAGCAATCCGATGAGCTGTTAAAGCTGTTTGTCGCAGGTGTCGGAACGTGACATCAACACAATACCAACAAAATCACGATAGGAGTGCAGAGGATAGGAAAGTGTAAAATAAATAATTAAATAAACTTTTCTCATCTTAGGGGCCGTCCATAAATGACGTCACGCACCTGGGGGGGGGGTCAGACATTTGTGACGTCATATTTGGGGGGGGGGCCTGACTTTTTGTGACGCCGTGTGACGAGGGGGGGGGTCAAATCGTCAAAAATCGCGTGACGTCATATATGGACGGCTCCTTACCAGATAAATCCCACAACAACACAGCGCGGCGTGGCCCCATATCCAGCAGTGGCTCGATAATGGCTGATGATGAATTACACCCATTAACTACTGCATCGTGTGTGTGTGTAGCAGCTGCTGTAAGACGGTGAAATGCGTGCTGATGATTGTTAAAACGACAACCAGCAAACCGGTAACCGTTATCAGAAACGGTTCCGGAATTCGGGGACCGTCAAGTGGGCTCCGTGAGCAATGGATGCACCGATTGGCGCGCGCGAATATAACAAACGGCATGGTGGCAGTCCCTCTAAAGGTTAATAAACACGTGCGTGGAAACATCGAAGGCCATGGTGCAGCCCTGCAGTCTCTTGTATGCTGTCGGGGTGCGCCAAAGCCACCCCTTGCTGCCTCGAGTTCTCACCAGGCCACTCGCCGCTTGCTGGCGGAAGGGCCTCCACTCGAGGGAACGCCAGCGCGTATTTGGCCTACTCTTCCATGCTGAAAAAACGAACGTTGTGAGAGGTGGATGTACCCACGCTTTACCCCACCACACGTGACCCACCGATCGACTGGCGTGTGCCCGTGGTATAGTGCCGGTGGTGGGGGGTTTGGGAGATTTGAGAAGCGCGGTCGTTGAGGTCACCGGTTCGATCCCCGCTCCCGGTGACCACTGGTTTGCAGGTTCCGGCGTTTTTCGTTTGCCAGGGTGGACGTTTTGCGTTTGCTGCGCCCTAGTCAACGGCTACATGTGTGGCGATCCGCTTTAAACGTTTGCAATGTGCTTTGCGGGAATGCAAAAAAAATGTGTTTTAACAAACAAGACATGTCGGGGATTACTATTGGCAGGTGTCTGTTGTGCTCCAGTGGTAGTGCCTTAGGCCCGATATTTTCCTGTTGTGCTCAGGAAAATATCGGGCGAAAAATTTAAGCCCGGCGGGCAAACAGCTGCCTCGGGTGAGCCATCTTGCTTGGCACGGTGGCGCGGCGGCAACACTCGCGCGTTCTGGCCGGAGCACCTGGGTTCGACTCGAGCGTCCTTACCGTGTGGCGTTTGTTCTTCCCCGCTGCCGCCCCAGGCTCCCGGTGGGCGCGTCGCCTGGCCGTGGTGACGACGGCGCTGCGCGAGTACCGGCCGTGCGTGCAGCAAAACTGTTCGTGCCATCGCGGGTGAGGAGGCGTCGGGCATCGGCCCGGCGACAAAATATCCGCTCGGCCCCCCCCTCCCCCCCCCCCCCCCCGGTCGAGTTTCCTTCTCCGTAGCCGGTGCATTACTCTCGTGGCTCTGCTGGGGCCCCCGCCCCCTTCCGGCCCCACCTCACCTGAGAGGAGGTTGAGCCAGTCCTCCATTCCTGAGCTCATAGTCCTCGAGAATGGACTTGGCGCAGGACGGATCGACCTCGCGGCGGTAATAGGTCACGTGACTCGAGGGCCTCGGAAGTAGTTCTCTTGAGATCTCCACCCGCCGCCTCTGCGGACCGTTCTCGAACACCTGATGATGACCGTTTGTGTTATGGTCGAAACGTCGTGAGAATTTTTATTGCTTTATATATATTTTATTGTGTCCCTTCAACGTGACTTTACCGAAAGAGCTAAGCATATGGATTACTGCAGTCGCGAAAGCTTTAAATCAAAATTTCACGCTTGGATAGTTCGTCGCGGCACGTGACGCGCCCCGACAGCGCAACTGAGATTAAATTGGCATTGAGCGTGTGGAAATCGGTTAATGACATTGCATCAAAACGGCATGTTAATTATGTGTGCTTGCGTTACATTTCAGATAATGGCCTATATTTGTTCTGGTTCTCCGTCGACTGCAAATCGTGCTGTTGGTTAATGGAAAAAGGGGAAGAGGAGGAAATGTATTGGTCAGTGGGACAATGCTCGTGTCGGTTGAACAGTTTTGGCTGTCGCCTGACGAAACTGGTTGCAATCACCAGCGAAAGGTACTCCGATTGTAAATGTTGTGGGTTTACTCTCCAACGCACCTGGTGTGCTGAACTCGTAACTAATTGCCATGTTTTGTTTACGTGACAAACCTTACTAATTTGCTATGTCGGGTGGTGGCGGGTTTAATGACACAATTACGTGATCTAACCCAACAAAAAAAAACCTTTATTATGGTCAATGTCAACATTTGAACGGGAACATCCACGATCAAGACTTCGCGAAAAGATGCAAACCATCAACGATCGCCGGGGCTTCGCAGTTGGATTTGTGAATCTTTGTCTTCGACTCCCCGGTGGCCCCCAGGGTGCTGGAGTCAGACCTCGCCCCGTTCAGCGGGGGGATCGCAGAGGCCGACGTGAAGGAGATGGTGGCACGGGGCGTCGGCACGCACTACCAGGTGTTCGCCCACCGGCTGTACCGCGAGGACGCGTGCATGTTCTCCGCTCGGTGAGCGTGCGTGCGCGCGCGGGCCGGGCGGTGGCGCGTCTCGCCACCGCTCGTTGCAGAGGCCCGTGGTTCAAACACAGCACCCTCGATTAGCACGGTTGGCGTCGTACGGCTTCGAAAGACGTTTAACGTGCGTACGTGCAGCAGTCGCTCTATACTTGCGGGTGCATTGCCTGTGATGTACTACGCGCTGTGCCCTTCACCCGGAGGGGACGTTAACCTTTCTTCCGCAAGGGTATTTGACAGAGAGTGGTAGGCCTCGTGTGCCGGCGTCACAATGCGAATGTGCACAATTACTGAAGTACTTTAATAGAATAACCAAAAGCAACGTCTACCCCCCTACTGGCAGGCCAATTCCCACTCACAGCCAGTGGTCACCCGGTGCTGCGCAGGGACCGGTGTCAATCAGGACAGACAACTGCACTTCAGGACGTTTTTTGTCACGTGGGTGCAATTAATATAAGTATTATTTTAATACCGTCGTTATCGCTAATGTGCTCGCGCATTTCGCCCCCCGACGACGCTCGAGGTGAAGCTTGTTTTGAACCACTGCCGCAGACATTGTGCACTCCCAGAAGGCCGTGCGGATGATGGGGTGTGTAAAGAAAAATACTTTTATACTTTCACGTGGCGGGACAGATATGTGGAGGAGGCTTCTTGTCTGCTGAGGAGTATTTTTATTTATTTTCATGTTTTTATTATAATTCAATCAGAGCCCGGTAAAGAGACGTAGGGAGGAAGTCCCAGTCAGTGCGCCTGAGTTTATAAAAAGGGAGAGATTGGTCTCGCTGCCCCACCGAGTGGGAACCGCAGCCGGGTTGTGTGTACTTTGAAATGGGAAGGGGAGGGTGAGGGAAAATAGCTTAAGAGAGAAAGAGGAGGGCATCTGCTGAGTGTTTTTATAAGAATTTATAATGCAGGTTTTTTTTTGGGTTAGATCGCGTAAACATATAAATGTGTCGTTAAATCCGTCACCACCCGACGCAGCCAATTAGTAAGGTTTGTCACGTGAACAGAACGTGGCCAATTCGTTACTAGTACAGCACACTGGTGTGTTGGGCAGCAAAGCCGCAACATTTCAATTTGAGCAAAGCCACAACATCTTACCCAAAAAAAACTGTTTTATGGATGATATTGCTCCCGAAAGCCTCTGTGTTAAACTGAATTTAGAATGGCTGACAGAGGTGGGAGCGAGAGGCACATAGAGGAGTCGAAGAGAACCACGGGAGCTGCTGATGCTGGCGGTCTAGCCATTTCTGTTTCTCTCATTCCCAGGTGCAGCGGGGTTGAACACTTCCTGCTGGAGTTACTGCCGGAGCTGCCGGACATGGAGCTGGTGGTGAACGTGCGCGACTACCCACAGGTGCCGGCATGGATGGCGCTGCGCCCTGTCTTCTCCTTCAGCAAGGTGCGGCGCAGGAGCCCGGCGGTCGTGTGGCGTGCCATGGGAAATGAGGTCATGGGTCAAACTCGCTTGAGACACAGTGCTTGCGAACTTATCTTTACAGGCAAAGACGTCCTCTCTCTGCTGGCCGTGGGTCCTAGTGAGATGCAAAACTGTAGAACACGTGACGCGAAATAATCACGAGCATCATGGGGAATTTTAATCACAAAATAAGCAGATAATAGGCGGCCCCCACGTATATGTGTCCCAAAATCTAAACAGCGAGGGTCCTTGCCAATAAATATTTGGCAATTCACAAGCATTGGATCAAGCAAGCCTGACGCTGCTGACGAGATACTGAAGGTCCAAACCGATCCAGCTTCTGTTGAACCAATGCTGCTGAAAAAATGCAATACCAGGAGGCTGTGTGTCTGAAGGGACAGGTATGGGAAGGAAGTGTGGGGTCTGCTTACAGACTGTACATCGATGAAAAAGAGCTTTATAGCTCATTGGATTATCCCAGTATAAATACAGATTTAGATTTTGTAAATACGCCACAATATCACCAATAATTATTATGTGTTATGCTACGTCTCTTTTTCTCTGTCTGCCTCTGTGCGTGACAGACTAAGGAGTACCGGGACATCATGTACCCGGCGTGGACGTTCTGGGAGGGCGGCCCTGCCGTGTGGCCCCTCTACCCTACGGGGCTTGGACGCTGGGACCTCATGAGAGACGACCTGAGCAAGTGCGTGCCATGTGTGTGCGTGTGGATAGAGGGGAGCTAAACAGGCACGGCACGGGTAGAGTTGGGCTGATGCGGTACAGGAGGATGTGGAGCTGAGTGGACCAATAACCGGTCCCAGTGGTGTCAAGATCGGCCTCTGTGGAGGAGGCTCGTGAAGGACGCTACTGGGGCTACTGGGCAGTTGGAGGCTGCCGCCCGTCAGCAGCAACGGAGAGTGGAGGAACGATACTCACAACAATGAGCGGAGCGACGGGCGGTAAAACGCAGCAAGTGGGGAGCGCAGGTGGTGCATTTATCAATCATCTGATCCATAACACGTGGGTCTGTCCCATGACTTGCCAGGAAGCCTAGCACACTTCATGTGGCCTCAGAAGTGCATCTAGCCTGGCACAAGCGCTGTGGCGAATTGCAGCTGTTTGTGTTTAGGCGTGTGTGTGAGTGCATTTGAGCTGTGGCGCAGCGATAAGTGCGTTGTGCTACGACCCCGGCGATCCGAGTTTGATTCCTGCTCATGGCTAACACCATTGACGATTATTTTAACCGGTCCTGGGCCTCCCCTAGGTCGACTCAGCCTCATATGAGTACCTGGTACGGTGTGTAAACATGGCCACGAGGGAGACAAAGGCTGTCGTCGGTCGTGGTGCTGGCCACACACCCGCTCATGTTCCGTGCCACCCTTCATAGGTCCTACACGCTAACAGCACTTGCCCCGACATTCTGTTAAGGCGATACGGGGGATCCTTGTCTGTTGTGTGTGTGCACGCATGTGTGCACGCATGTGTGCGTGTGTTTTGTTTTGGAAAAAAGTAACCCCCATCTCCTCGCTCGCAACATTGTGGTGTGCTGTGAAGGCTGAAAGGCTGATGCTAAGCAGCCATTACCCCCGCAGCATGCTCACAGCAACCGCAGAGGCCAGTGCGGGCTCTGGATGGGACGTCAGGGCACCGATAACATCTCCTACTGCGACCCTGTTTTGTGGAGCCAGGAGCCTGAACTACGCCCCCTCCCCTAGGCTTCCTCGAGAAACAGCTGGAAACCACTGCGTTTGGCCACGTGGGGAATGTCCGAACACTTGTTGCTGCGGAGGAGAGGCTGTCAATCCCCTGTCGGGGAGAGCTGGACCGGGTACCGCCTGGACCTCTCTGGAATACGGGAGGCCCTCCAGTGGACTGGTCCCGGCTGCAGTCGCCTCGAAGGGTGGACAGTCCTCCACTCGAGGCAGGAGACTGCCAGACAACAAGGAGCGACTCTCGTTCTTAATAAAATAATGAAGCTTAGTGTCGAATGGCGGCCGCCATTGTTGTTGTGCACGTGTGTGTGTGTGCGTGCACACATCTGACCTCATCTGCTATTCTCTGTAGCCGTCGTCCTCGCCTTAACGTTTATCAAAAATTTGTTGTCAGGGCTGCAGCACAGTGGCCTTGGGAGAAGAAGAAGACTCAGGGGTTTTTCCGTGGCTCCAGGTGGGCAACCGCAATGCATCGACAAACTGCGGTTCTGACGATCGTATCTTCTCTTAAAGGGACTTGTCTAAGGCGCTTTACACAGAATGAACAACGGTGCGACGTACGAATGCAGTGGTAGAGATGAGGTGGAATGAAATAGATGGGAGAGGAAGCATTGGGGCAAATCTGTGGTGAGGCATGAATTGGGTGAAAGCAAAAATTGATGACAGTAAGTGATGATGAATGGATTGAATGAATGGGGGCTAATGAGTGAAAGCCATATAATGTGAATATGAAGAGGGAAAAATAACGGTGGCGGTTATGAGTGGGAGATTAAGGGACCGTGGGTAAGCTAGGGAAAAATAAGTGAGTTTTGAGTGCATTACACCAGTGATTCTCAAACTTTTTTGGCTACTGTGCTCCTTTGGTGAATTTTCCTTCAACCGGGTATCTGCCTTGGCTGACCCCACAACATGGTTCTGAGAAATAATGGCGTGCATAAAATGAGCATCAATATTCTAACCAAGTGTCCAAATTGTGAGGCATCATCCTAACTAGCTGGTAACTGCAAGCGAATAAAAAATAAATCAACGGACGCTCCGCGCGCGTGACGTAATTTGCTCGCGCTCGCTGGTTACTCTTGGAAACCAGATTGTTTAGATCAATGAGTTTAGAAAGGTATTTCATATGGTTCCAGGTTACCACGTGGATTAATAAAATTAATTGGCACGTTTTGTTTACGTGGCAAACCTTACTAATTGGCGGTGTCGGGTGGTGGTGAGTTCAGGGGACACATTTTATGTTCATAATGTGGCCTAACCCCTAAAATAAATTATGATTGACAATTTCAAAAGCCACGGTGAACTGAACGCGCGTTAATATTGACCGACCATTGCTGCTGTTGCCGCTGTTGCAGGACGAGTGCGGAGCGAGACCCCTTGGTGCTGCTGTCTCGGCGCGAGCCCACACTCGTGGATGCCGCCTACACCAAAAACCAGGCGTGGAAGTCGGACAAGGTGCGGACTGGAGCCTGCGCCCACAGCACCTCACAAAGTCAGAGTGATTTCCTGCGCTCAAAAGAGCATCGAGGCATCGGTGGTGACCTCCCATACACAGCCCTGCCCAGCCAGTGGTGGACATTCCTCATTACCTCGGCAGGGGGCGAGTCTATTCACACGACAACCACTGTTGGACTTGCGCACAAAGTGGCGCCTATTTTATCGACCCTGGAGGAAGGCACGAGTCAACCGCCCCAACTGTGGATTTGAACTCGCAAACCTCGCGATTGTGAACCGCTTGCCACACCACCGAGCCAGGGATTGGGTTGGATGGTTTTGAGCTGGGACAACGAGTCGGTGATTCGACTTAAAAACTCCAATCGGCTTCTTTTGTTTTTTTGCGCTTAATTATACCGTCGCACGGGTCGCACAGAACATCGCAGTGGACGCGAAGGGTCCCCGTGACGCTATTCGAAAAAAAATATAACGGTGAGCCGTTGTCCACGTTTGAATTTTGTAACTCGCCGACTACTCAATTGGCCAAAGCCACAAAGCGGCTGGAAAACAGATGGGCCCTTGCAGGCTGTTGCTGTGTTCACCTTGTGCCACACAGAGACAGCTGCCTCTCGTGCAGTGAGAGGGAGGGTGTTTTCACCATTTGTGTATTGTCGGGGGGGGGGGGGGGGGGGCGCACGTCAAGGGCCGTACCAAAGGCCACCAGGGGCAGCCAGTGGCCCGCGTGTCAAGAAGAACACCGATCTCGTATAACCTGTAGGCTAAACAACTGCATTATGAGACGCTTCGTTCCATTGTGGGCGCGACATGTTTGCAAGTATAATTATAAGAATTGTTATTATGAGAGTACAATGATTATTATTAACCATAATAGAGTGTTTTGGGGTTAGATCACGTGAATGTAAATGTGTCGTTAAACCCGCCACCCGACACAGCCAATTAGTAAGATTTGTCACGTCAACAGAACATGCCAATTCTTTACTAGTACAGTGACTTTTGATTTAAAGCTTTCGTGACTGCAGTAATGCATATTCTTAGCTCTTTCGGTAAATATATTTTATTATTTTATTGTTTCCCTTCAACGTGACTTTACCGAAAGAGCTAAGAATATAGTACAGTGACGTTTCGAAGGGAATTGCAACTAGCATCATCAGGCGACAGCCAGATCTGTGAAGAAATCCTGTTTATATTTATCACGTTTTTATATTTACGCGATCCTACCCATAAAAACCTCTTATGGATAATATTGGAAGTGAAAGCCTACGTGTTAAACTGATTATTGTTAACTTTACACGAACGCGTTTGTGCCATACCTTTCTGTTGCCACTCGAGGACACGCTGGGAATGCCACCGACGAAGGAAATCGGCCTGGTTGACCACTGCCAGTACAAGTAATCAAGTGACGCACCCCACAGCCTCACACCACGCTGCACGCACAGCCACGTCCGAGCTGTGAACCTTTCAGCAGTTGGTATCTTTTGCTCGCGTTGGGGTGATTGGTAGACTGGCCCAGTGAATCAGCGGCTCACAATTCAGAAGTGTTCAATCGTTAGTAATTGTAATAAATACAGGAAATCCTCTACTTACGAACGAGTTAGGTTCCAGAGGTCTGTTCTTAAGTATATTTGTTCGTCAGTCCAACTTTACTCCTGTCGATTCCAAACACGTTGTACGACATGTACACTAAACACGGGGAGTGGCTTTGAAAGTTGTATAATCTCCTGCAGATGCCACTGGTTCTTCACGTTCTGCAGATGTAGATGCCACCACCGCCATCAGAATCAGAAAGGGTTTTATTCGCCATGAAAGTTCACACCGACACGGAATTTACTTTGGCAGGATGGTGCATACATTCAACATATAGGAATCTAAAATCTTAAATAAGTTTTAAACAAGTCTTACTATAATAAGGGTTAAAAGTCTAACACCAAGGGGCGATTGAACTTACGACTACAGTATATCCAAACGGGCAACTGGACATATGGACAGGTGTGTTCTTATCTCTGAAAGTTCGTAAGTCGAATGTTCGTAAGTAGAGGAGTCCCTGTACGTAATTGGTGGTAGTGAGTTTTGCAGTCGGACAGAATTGTTTGCAGGGCCGATCGAGTAAGTTGAGATTGACTTTAACAATTGCTCATACGGTTATGTAAGCAAATATAACATCTGTAAATAAGATAAAAATTGGTTAGTGAAGGGACAGCAAGCGATATGTTTACATGTGGGTAACGTTTATATGAATACATATTTTTTCTTCAGTCGGCTTGTGTTGAGTCATATATATAGTAATGGTAAAATACGATAAAGTTGTATGACGCAGATGCATAGTCAGGTCATTGCAGGGATTGTTTAAGGTTCGTGAGTGATTTTGTTCTTGAGCTTTGTCAGAAAAAAAACAGCCGTAGCCATATGCGCGGTTACCCAGGGCGCGGGCGGATCGGAGTGGGCGTGCGGGCGCGGTGGTGCAGGGGACGGCCGGGTGAGAAACTCTTCTGTTGTGGACAGCGTTCACAGTGAGCTTGTATGTAAAGGGTTGTTGTGAAGTTGCACCGGTGGCTCCTGGCCTCTAATGCCGGAGCGACGTGGCATCTCAAGACAGTGGCGGGGGGTCGTGGGGGGGGAGCAGAACGCAACAAAGAAACGAGTTTGACGCCGAGTTTATTGGCCGGCTGAGACTCGCCACTGTAAGTACGCGACCCTCACTGTCGCTACGGGGTTGTACGAGCGAGGGAGCGAGCGACTGGGCAAAGGTGGTCAGGCCACGTTTGTTAATGGGCAAGGGCCCTCTCCGTGAGACATGGGGCTGGGTCTCAAATGTAATATTTCTGGTTTAGTTTGAAGGCGCGGTGGGGGGGGGGGGCAAACGGCATGATTTGCCCCAGGCCCCGCACCCCGTCTATGGACGGCTCTGCCACCCCCGTGTTCCTGAAAACAGACCTCAAGGTAAAGCGTGAAGTGCCATAAGATGCATTCGATTGAGCCGCGTTGGGAAATGTTTTCCTGTACTTCTATGGGCGTGGTCCCGTGTCTCCTTACACTCAACCCCAACGTGCCCTCAACGAAGTCTTGTTGTCTTTTCCCCCGTATTGACGCCCTTACCCCGCACCTCCGATTGGCCACGGTTGGCTACATACGGTGCGACAGAAGTTCAACATCCATACGTACGCACACACACACACACGCACGGGAAGGTGTGTAACTTATTTTTCGCTGGCGAAGTAACGGGAGGGAGAGAGCGTTGTTGACGTGCGGGCAGGTACCTGTTCAACTTCCGCGGCGTGGCGGCGAGCTTCCGCTACAAGCACCTCTTTCTGTGCGGCTCGCTCGTGCTGCACGTTGGCGACGACTGGCATGAGTTCTTCTACCAGCAGCTGAGGCCCTGGGTCCACTACGTGCCCGTGCAGCAGGATCTCTCCGACGTCCGGTGAGAGAGAGAGACGCACGCGCCACGGTCGCCAGCAACGCTGAAGGGGTTTGAGGGCGCCACGGTGGCTAGGAGATGTTAACTGCGTCGCCTGGTACGCAGGAAGTCGTGGGATCGATCCCGACCCTGATTCCTACTGCTGTATATTTGGAGTTTGTGTGTCTCTCTCTCATCATCATCACGGTGGCTAGGAGATGTTAACTCTCTCGCCTGGTATGCAGGAGGTCGTGGGTTTGGTCCTGACCCTGACGCCTGCTGTATATTTGGAGTTTGTGCGTCTCTCTCTCTCATCATCATCACAGTGGCTCGGAGATGTTAACTCTCTCGCCTGGTACGCAGGAGGGTCGTGGTTTTGATCCTGACCCTGATGCCTGCTGTATATTTGGAGTTTGTATGTCTCTCTCATCATCATCATCACGGTGGCTAGGAGATGTTAACACTCTCACCTGGTACGCAGGAGGTCGTGGTTTTGACCCTGACCCTGACGCCTGCTGTATATTTGGAGTTTGTGGTGTCTCTCTCATCTTCATCACAGTGGCTAGGAGATGTTAACTCTCTCGCCTGGTATGCAGGAGGTCGTAGTTTTGATCCTGACCCTGACGCCTGCTGTATATTTGGAGTTTGTGCGTCTCTCTCTCTCATCATCATCACAGTGGCTCGGAGATGTTAACTCTCTCGCCTGGTACGCAGGAGGGTCGTGGTTTTGATCCTGACCCTCATGCCTGCTGTATATTTGGAGTTTGTGTGTCTCTCTCTCATCATCATCACGGTGGCTAGGAGATGTTAACGCTCTCACCTGGTATGCAGGAGGTCGTGGTTTTGATCCTGACCCTGATGCCTGCTGTATATTTGGAGTTTGTGGTGTCTCTCTCATCTTCATCACAGTGGCTAGGAGATGTTAACTCTCTCGCCTGGCATGCAGGAGGTCGTGGTTTTGATCCTGACCCTGACACCTGCTGTATATTTGGAGTTTGTGTGTCTCTCTCTCGCTCATCATCATCACAGTGGCTAGGAGTTGTTAACTCTCTCGCCTGGTACACAGGAGGTCGTGGTTTTGATCCTGACCCTGACGCCTGCTGTATATTTGGAATTTGTGTGTCTCTCTCTCCCCATGGTCACCTGGATTTTTCTGCATTTCGAGTATTTGACTGCTATAAATTTCCACGTGATAAGCCACTTCGATTAGCACGGTTGACTACATACGGTGCAAAAGAAGTTCAACATAGGTTGAGCTATCATTTGTGGCCCGTGTTGCTTCTAAAAAATAGCTATATAGCTCAGTGGGCCTTACCTGGCAAAATAAAAAAAAGAGTTTATCAAGAACACGGACAACAATCTAGCGTGAAATCTCTTGCTTGCACGCTTTGGCAGCTCCAAGTGGCCTAAATCTCATGTCCTCATCACAAACCATGCCTTCTGTCGGCATCATCTCATGGCGTGAGCAAGCAAACACGTTCTTTTTTCCCCATTTTTTCAGGGAGGTCTTGGAGTTTGTGAAAGACAATGATGACGTCGCACGGGAAATTGCCGAAAGGTGAGCGCATTAATTTTTTTCCCATACACCGACGACAAAGTCCATCCCGAGCATCAATTCGTAACGTAGTCGTGTGTAACGTGTGCCGCTTGCCTTCACTCTCGGAGAGGGGGAACGCTTCAGAGGCGCGCGAAATCACAGCAGGTTGCAATCATTGCACACAAAGTGCTTACCTTGCTGATGTCATCAAGAAGCATCAACCATCGTGTGAACTCCGGTCATCCTCGCAGCGGCTTTTGGATAGCCATTGAACAAAGATGGTGACTGCATCGCGCGCGTTCAGATGCGCTTCTGTGGTCGTCTGGAATGCTCTTCCGATATTAGGAAGCCACTGGGAGCTATCTGTATTGAAAACTCATTTCTTTAGAACTGCTTTTTGTGATTAGTTTGTTGTCCTTCCCCCGCCTTTCGAATAGCACGGTTGGTTACGTACGGTGCGAAAGGAGTTCAAAATACAAACAGGAAGGCAGCCAAAACTGGTGCCAACAACGGCCCAATCGCTATGGTTCAATTTTGGGATATTTGGCCAACTCCTTGAATGGGTAATTTACAAAAACCCTGACTGCATTTCTGCTTTCTGCGTCGTGTTTTGTCACGAATGAACACCCCTCCACCCAGAGCCAAATCTGCAGCTGGCACCGCACTACCCTGTGTCACGGAATGAACCTTGGAAGATGACGTCACATAACTACAGTCTGTTCTCCTATAACGGGGTAGTTGCGTTCCTGAAGAACACCGCATTGTGGAAAGATTACGTTATGATAAATTATATAAGCGTACATCGCAGACCACGACAAAACGCGAGATGCATACGCAGGCCGAGCAAAGACTGAGGTGCGTGGGCAGCATCTAGAAGCATCCAGCAGCATCCCACCTTGTGTAATGCTACACCAAGGCAGCTGTACAACCTCTTATTGAAACTCGTATGACTTTGTTCTATTCACTCAATTGCGTTGTGTCCAATTCACATCCGCGTGATAAAAAAAGTGTTCTCCAAATACATTCATAGCGTTATATCCAATTCACATTATGAAAACAACACGTTATAGGAGAACAAACGTGCATATATATTGTTTTGGCTGATTTTAAATATTTCTTGTTGAAATTGTTCTTTCCACTCTCAAGGGGGCAGAAGTTCATCTTGGATCACCTGAGGATGGAGGACGTCTCCTGCTACTGGCGGAGCCTCCTGCAGCGCTACGCCTCCCTGCTGAAGTACAAACCCGAGCGCAGGCTGGCGTACCGGGAGATCCGGCCCACGCGGCACAAGAATGAGCTGTGACGACGCCGGTCCTGGCTTCTCCTCGTCACCACGGTCGCCTCGACGTGGCGATGTTCCGCGGTGGGAAATGTGCCGGTTTATACGATGGAACGCTGTACCTGCTGTTGAGGAAGTCACATGACGTGTGTATTACGACGGGGCGCCATGGTGGCGAGATGTTAACTACCCCGCCTGGTATGCATATATTTGTATATTTGGAGTTTGCGCGTCTCTCTCCCTGTGGTCGCGTGGATTTTTTCTCCGGGTCCTCCGGTTTTTCCCTCCACATTTAGAAATATGCGTTTATTAGAGTATTTGGCTTCTATAAATGTCTACATAAGCCACTTCATTGAGCTATCATGTGTGGCCAGGTCACTTCTGAAAAAGAGCTATATAGCTCAGTGGCCCTTACCTGGTAAAATAAAAAAATAGCAAAAAAGTTGCTACGTCATTGCATTACAGGATGACATCATTGCGTTGCGAGACGTCATTGGCTCTGAACGTGGCTTCTTATCTCGGACAAGAGTCTGCTGTAGTTATTTTATGAATCTAGAAAAACTGGCACTTCAGAAGATCTAGCACGTGTCCCGGCACTGCACAGCCGCAGTACAATTGGGGGAAAAATAAACATGAAAGAGAAAAAAATGAAATGGTTAATTTTCCTCTCAAACACTGCTCATTCTTGCGACAGCAACGTTTTAAGAAATATATATTTTAACAAATAAACATCACTGTAGTAGGATTCACTTCACACCTTTGTGTTGCTGCAACTTGTAATGTCAATCACTGGTTTTACAAATAATGTTATTTTTAATAAAAGAGAATGCAACTTGCCTTGTGGCAAAGCAACCTGGATGTTACTGGTCTCTTTGGATCTCAGAAGTTAATCAGGGGTAACATGTTAGTACAGCGATGGGTCAAACCAATCAACCTCCGAGTGGTTATACAGGAACCCTCATGCCTGTGCGCACCATAGTGGGGGAGAAACTGGCATGTGGGGGAGAAACGCATCCACAGGATGGAGAAGAGTTGGGCTGATGCGATACAGGAGGATCTGGAGCTCAGTGGACTTGCCGATGACCGGTACCAGCGGTGTCAAGATCGGCCTCTGCGGAGGAGGCTCGTGAAGGACGCTACTGGGTAATTAGAGGCAGTCGCCCTCCAACAACAACTGAGAGTGGAGGAGCAATGCTCACAACAACGAGTGGAGCGCCGGGCGGCTAAAATGCAGCGAATTGGCACAGTAGGGGGGGCACAGGTGGTGCATCTGCCAGTCTCAAGTCAATTAACACCATGGCACCTGCTGTCCCGTGACCTGTCAGAGCGAGCCTTCGACACTTCACATGGGCCTCGGAGTGCACGTAGCCTTGCACAGGGGCCGCGGTGACGTCGCCGCCACTTCGTCGCGAATGTTGTAAACGTATGAAGGAGGGAGCGAGGGGGAGGGCCCGATATACAGCGGCGATTCTACTTAGGGATAAGTTATATTCCAGAGGTCTTCGCAAGTCGATTTGTTTGTAAGTACAACTTTACTCCTGTCGATTCCAAACATGCTGTATGGCATTGAAAAAGTTGATACTCCGACTGATGCTTCTGTTGTTGTGGAGTAACTCATGCAGCCAGCTATGGCTCTAGGATTTGGTGTTACATGTTATTTATGTAGTTTATTGTAAAAATTCGGTCACAGTCCCTGTGATCACTGTTACGTTGCAATTATGGCGTTATTTTTTTGGTGATTTGGAAAACGTTTTATGGTTTGGACATGTTTGTTTTGTTGTAGTACGGAGTTAGACTGATGGCCTTAATCTAAGTTTTCTTGTGGTTGTTGTTGTTTGACTTGCATCCCACTGGGATTTGTTGCACACAACGTTGGTGTACGGTGCTTTTTTTCAGGAATATTTTGCCGTATTTTTTTCATGGATTTTCTGTTTACACAGTCACATAGTCACTTTAAGATGTTTTTCTTGTTCGTGTTTTTGTTTTTTTTGTTTATTGTGGTTGCACCCGATTCAAGAGCCAAATGGCTCACAGGGCTATACCAAAATAAATAAACTGAAACTGAATGTACACTAAATACGGGGAATGGCTTTAAAAGTTGTATAATCTGAATAATAGAGTTTTTCCCCTTTTTTCTGGCAATAAAACTGAATTATTTTTACAAGGAATCATGTGTGCATTAACCACAATACTTGTGGTCAAAATGCAAAAAAACACACACTGATAATATATGCATTGTCTTTGAAACTGATTTGTCCACACCAGAGACAGCTTTCTTTTGAGCCTCGTCTCAATTGGTGCTAGACCAGAGGACGCCAAAAAGTGTACAGCTCAAAGACAATGCACTATCAAAGTAATGAGGGCTCGGGGTAGTACTAAGTCTTTGAGCTGTACGCCTTCTGGCGTCATCTAGTCGAGCACCAATTGAGACGAGGCTCAAAAGAAAGGTGTCTCTGGTGTGGACCAGTCAGTTTCAAGGACAATGCATATATTATCATAGTACGTTTTTTGTTTGCATTTTGACTGCAGGTATTGTGGTTAATGCAGACATGAATCCTTGTAAAAAGGTTTCAGTTTTGTTGCCAGAAAAAAGGGGAAAACCCCTATTATTACATTTTGGTACTGGCAAAGGAGGTCTAATGATGAATGCATATATTATCAGTGTGTGTTTTTTTGCATTTTGACCACAAGTATTGTGGTTGATGCACACATGATTCCTTGTAAAAAGGATTCAGTTTTGTTGCCAGAAAGAAGGGGGAAAACCCGAATTTGATATGTTGGTACTGGCAAAGGGGGTTTAATGATTGTATAATCTCCTTGAGATGTAAATGCCACTGGTTCTTCATGTTCTGTATATGTAGATACCACCACCGCCATCTATTGCACGGCGGTTGAACTTACGACTCTAGGTCCGAACGGGCGACTGGACATGCGGACAGGGTTGTTCGTGTCTCTAAAGTTCCTAAGTCGAGTGTTCGTAAGTAGAGAAGACAGGGGGAGGGTCTTATAATGGAGGGAAGGGAGGGCTATAAGGGAGGGGGAGCTATAAGGGAGGGCTATAAGGGAGGGGGAGCTATAAGGAAGGGGGAGCTATAAGGGAAGGAACAAGAGAAGGGCCTTAAAGGGAGGGCAGGTCCTATAAGGGAGTGAGGGGGGCTATGTAAGGGAGGAAAGCCAGGCGGTGGACCCTGTAAGGGCGGGAGAGGGTCTAAAAGGGAGGGAGCGAGGAGGCGGAGGGAGCGAGGGGGCGGAGGGAGCGGCGGGGGGGCGGAGGAAGCGGGGGGGGCGGATGGAGCGGGGGGGGCGGATGGAGCGGGGGGGCGAGGGGGCGGAGCGAGAGGGGTGGAGGGATCGAGGGGGGCGGAGCGAGCGAGGGGGGCGGAGCGAGCGAGGGGGCGGAGGGATCGAGGGGGGCGGAGCGAGGGGGGCGGAGCGAGCGAGGGGTGGATGGAGGGAGCGATCGAGCGGCGGAGCGAGCGAGGGGGTGGAGGGAGCGAGGGCCCCTATATAAGGGTGGAGGGAGCGAGCGAGGCATCGCCTCCTCCCGTCACCTCGTACCGGTGGACGCGCTCGCAAGCCGACGGCATTCACACGCAACCAGACGACTCGGCAGCCGCACTTCCTGCTACCCCCCCCCCACACACTGTGTACACGCCCACACAGTGTACACCACACACACACACACAGCGTACACACGCAGGGGTATGCATCGACACGTGCGTGGCTTAGATCCGCAGTAGGCGCCTACCTCGCTGGGTTCGTACGGCGCACGGACAATATACGCCACGGGCGAACGCTACCGGCGGGGGGGAGTGGGCGTTGGGGTGTTCGCGTACCATTAGATACACGTGCCCGCGTGACGGCTGCTTGATAACGTTAAGTGCACAGGGCACTGCGAGAGAGGCGCGTTAGGCGATACATTCCGCACGGTGGGGGGGGGGAGGTATTAGGTTGGGTAGTAGGTGGGAGACGATTACGGGCCCTGGGGTAGGCGCGCACCACGGATCCACGTGCGCGCACTGTACACGCCGCCTGCCGCGCTAGTGGGAGCACGCGTAGTCTTGGGGGGGGGGGAGGCTACGTGAGATGCGTGTGTAGAGGCCCCGGAGGGCACGCTCTTGAAGTACTTGAACGTGTGTACGTGAGATAGTTGCCGAGGGTACACGCTGAAGATGATGTAGATGCATACTGAATGTACACGCTCGAGATACGTGAGACGCGTACTGAAGATACACACACACACCGAGGATAGATTACGATACTCGCCGGAGATACTGCCCGTACATACTGCAGATACGCACTGTAGATAGTGTAGATACGTGCTGAAGGTACACATCCGATACACGCTGAAGATACATCAGATACACTTCGGATACTTAAGATACAGGCTGAAGTTCCAGGCTGAAGATTCAGGCTGAAGATTCAGGCTGAAGATTCAGGCTAAAGATTTAGGCTGAAGATACAGGCTGAAGATTCAGGCTGAAGATTCCGGCTGAAGATTCCGGCTGAAGATTCCGGCTGAAGATTCCGGCTGAAGATTCAGGCTGAAGATACACGCGTAGCCATGCCTAGAGACCTGTTCCAGAGCCCCGTCCAGAAGACCTGGCTGCCCAGTGACCTGCCCGGAGTCGCGCCGCCAAGATGTGAGTCGAGATGCCTGCAAAGCGTTTTGCCGTGCGGTTGTCGACGGTCTCTGTCTGTGTCTCTCTCTCTGTGTCTCTCTCTCAGTGTCTCTCTCTCTCTCAGTGTCTCTCTATCTCTCTGTGTCTCTGTCTGTCTCTGCCTCGCCCTCTGTCTCGCCCTCTATCTCTCTCTCTGTCTCTCTCTCACTGTGTGTCTCTCTCTGTCTCTCTGTCTCTCTCTCTCTGTGTCTCTCTCTCTGTGTCTCTCTGTGTGTCTCTCTGTGTGTCTCTCTGTGTGTCTCTCTGTGTGTGTCTCTCTGTGTGTGTCTCTCTCTGTGTGTGTCTCTCTCTGTGTGTCTCTCTCTGTGTGTCTCTCTCTGTGTGTCTCTCTCTGTCTCTCTCTGTGTCTCTGTCCCTCTCTCTGTCTCTTTCTGTCTCTCTCTGTCTGTCTCTCACCCCGGGTCAGCGTGGCCACTGTCAACCCCTACGGGTTGACCCCCCACCCTGTGCTTGCTCGTTTGTACGGGGAAATTTGAGTTTTCAGGTTCAGCACGGCGTACTGCCATTTCAATTCGGGCAACAACAATAACAAGCGTCTATTTGTTTGTGTTTCTCCCTTGCGATTGCCCTAGGATGAACGTTGAGATTTTTAAAGGTTGACGGGGTGACCACTAAGGTCTGAATTGGTCTGTAACAAGATAGGGCACTGATAAGGGGTTGACAGGTGTGGGTCTCTCATTATCACCCTTTGATCGCTACTACCACGGCTACTGTTGTCATGGTCGTACTTATTTACTTAACTCAATTATTGTTGTTGCCCAGCTCACACCACGACCCCTTAAATCTCCATCCCTCATAATAGCCACCGCCGTTACTTTTCTCGCTCTTGACGTTCTCATCATGTGGCTGTCATTAAACCCATTCATCGAATCCGTTCATCATCATCATTTACTAGTCGTCAATACACGCATCGCCACAGATTTGCCCACCCATTGCTTCCTCTCATCAATTTCATTCCACCTCATTTCCACCATGACAATCAGTCGCACGTTGTAACGTTGTTTCATTGTTTTGCGAAGCGACGTGGTTAAGGTGCTCTATACATCCCTTGAAATATAGGATGAACTTCAATCGCCACGTTGTACTCGGCCATCTCATCCACTGAGCCACTCACCCGCTCACTCAGTTACTCACCCACACTGCCAGTCACAACGACACTCACCTTGCTCACCCACTCACCACACTGCAGGTCACAACACCACTCACCTTACTCACACACTCACCACACTGCAGGTGACAACAACACTCACCTTGCTCACCCACTCACCACACTGCAGGTCACAACACCACTCACCTTGCTCACCCACTCACCACACTGCAGATCACAACACCACTCGCCTTACTCACCCACTCACCACACTGCAGGTCACAACACTCACCTTGCTCACCCACTCACCACACTGCAGGTCACAACACCACTCACCTTACTCACCCACTCACCACACTACAGGTGACAACAACACTACTCACCTTGCTCACCCACTCACCACACTGTACTAGTAACGAATTGGCACGTTCAGTTTGCGTGACAAACCTTATTAGTTGGCTGTGTCGGGTGGTGGCATGTTTAACGACACACTTAAACCTCTATTATGGATGATATTGGTCGCGAAAGCCTCCTACGTGTTAAACCAATATAATTGTGGTTGGCCATTATGTTGCCACGGCATTGTGCGAGGATGAATGATGGGAGTCGAGTTGAGCCAAAAGTGGCGTTTGAGTTGTTTGAGAGGCAGCGGAGGCTTCGGGAGGCCTTCATCCAGCAGTGGACTGACCATGGCTGATGCCGATGGTCATTACGGGTGATGCGGCCTAGCGGGTTTCTCGTGCGCCGCTTGCTCACAGACGTCCACGGTTCGAATTCGGCGGCCACCCTGATTGTTACTCGGGTTGTATTAGCCATTATAATACTACGATTGCTACTATGCGCTATCTGATTCACAAAGATCTCCCCCGGCATCATTCGCAAGAGTAGGCAATCGTGTGTACCGGCGTCTGGGTCCAAATTCGGAAATGACTCGGTTTGGGATTATAACAGCAACCCATTACTGCCAAAACTTGGCAGGACCCTCCTGAAAGCGAGTCATGAGACTCGGTGAGGCTTTTCTGGATAAACAAGCATGATCATAATATTTTGCGATATGATTAGCAGAAGGCCTTGTGGCTGATGGGGTGTAAAAATGTATTTTATGTGGAGGGACAGATATGATGTCCCTAAACTCTTTTTATTTTGCCAGGTAAGGCCCACTGAGCAATACAGCTCTTTTCAGAAGTGACCTGGCCACAAATGATAGCTCAACGAAGTGGCTTATGTGGAAATGTATAGCAGCCAAATACTCAAAATGCATGATCTTGATTCTAAATGTGGAGGGAATAACCGGAGGACCTGGAGAAAAATCCTCACGACCACAGGGAGAGCGACGCAAACTCCAAATATACAGCAAGGGTCGGGGTCGGGATCGAACACACGACCTCCTGCATACCAGGCGAGGTAGTTAACACCTTGACACCGTGGCGCCCCTGGCTGTGTGGTTCCTGTCTCGTGACCTTTGACACGGCCTCGGTTCTTGAGGGTTTTGAGATTTCACAGGAACACCCACACTGCACGTTAGCAATTCAGCAGAGCGGCCCATTTCTCGGAATTCGCCACCGGAATCCGGGGGCCCTTTCTTGTAAAACCAACCGGCGTGGCGTGGTCAACGCTGCCGCCCATGCAGCGCCACGCTGAGTCACAAGCCCAGGGTGTGGAACGCGCAGCGCTAGAAATCACGCCCGCCGTGGAGATGGAGCGACGAAATGAGCTCAGGCGCGGTGATTGTTGTAACGCAGGACCATGGGGGATGGTGACTGATAATAAAGGGGTGGAGGGGTTGGGTTAGATCGCGGAAATATGAATGTGCCGTAAAACCCGCCACCACCCAACACAGCCAATTAGTGAGGCTTGTCACGTAGGACAGAACTTGTCATTTAGTTAGATGGTGACTGCTTGCGGATGGGAGGCCTTCATCCCGCAGTGGTTTGATGAGCGCTGATGATCGGGTTGCCTTCTGTCCTGGAATTGGCATCAGTGTACCAATAGTTAGCATGGCAGGCATTGTTTTGTACCTGATATCTGGTGGCAAAGTGTTAAACTTTATTGCATTTTCACTGCAGTGTTGATCATTAATTGACCTAGGGAGCGTGAGAACTCTGAGGGTTTTGCTTCAAGTGGGTGAGGTGGCGACCAGAGCTGATGATGGATACTGGGGTTTGTTTTTGAGTTCCGAGTTGAAAGAAATACTTTTTGTGAAATGATTGAGTCAGACGTCACTTACGAGCTGAAATCAATCGACCGCACCTCCTATTGGCACGGTTGGCTACGTACGGTGCAAAAGAAGTTCAACCAACATGCAACCTCCGAGCAGTGGATTGATCGTGTCGATCGTTGCTGACGATATAAATACAAATGTACATATGTGTTTATAGACGGTTTACAATATACACGTGAAGACGGTGGGTGGGTGCGTAATCTGCAATTCACCAACTGGGAAAACGCAACCGAGTGTATGGACCGGTTTTGACATTCAGTATCTCAACAGCGGAGTCCGGCTTGTGTAGCAGCAGGTGCGTACGTATGTTGAACTTCTTTCACACCGCGTACGTAGCCAACAGTGCTAATTGGAGGTGCGGGGTGAGGACAACGAACTAAACCTTAAAAGCAGTTCCAAAGAAATGAGTTTGCAACCTAATATCGGCAGGGAGAGCATTCCAGACGGCCGCAGAAGCGCATTCGACCGTCTTTGTTTGACAGTCAGCCAAAACGCCGTTGCCGCAGAGGATGACCGGATTGACCGCATCGCTCACGACTGGATCCGCTCCCAGCACCCCGTGGTTCCTCCTCGCGGCACGCGATTCCCAATCCGAGCGTGGAGTGCTGCCGCACTTTGCCCGGGGTTGAAGCGGATTTCCCCGCGATGTTAAAAACCCACGCGGTGTTCCCCAGGGTGAGTCGCGCATCGGAGCCCCGCGTCTCCCGCCCGTCAATTCGAGCGGCGCGCGGCGGACGGGGAATGTTGCGTTTGGTCACTGCCGAGTGGCCGCGTGCGACTCTGTTGGGTTTTTTTCAAAAATATATTTCGTTATTATTTATTTATTCCTGAAGAGATGAAACTCCGCCGTGCCCTCCATGCACGTCGTGCAGAGCTGCACGTCCCACACGACCACAGGCATCGGCTCGGCCCTCTCTCCCTCCCACTCTTCCCCCCCCCCCCACAGACGCATCATCTCGCATCGCCGGTCACCGCGTGTGTGCGCGCGTGTCACCATGTATGCCCGTGGTGTAAATGTGCCGATACACGCGGTATACCACACCCAGCGGCTCCACTCGCCCACCGCGCGTGTAAACCGGCACCGTGCCGGACGTGTCCTGTGCCCTAAACGGCGAGGCCTCCGCTGACGGGAAATGGCTGCGCGTGTGTGTGGGGTCCTCGTGAGGAGCGGAGGCGTAGCGGGCAGCACCGCTGCGTCGCGAACCATGGCGACCCGGGTTCAATTTCCGTGCGTGGCCATCAACGCCAGCGACGATTATCTGAACCGGTCCTGGGCCTCCCCTAGGTAGACTCGGCCTCAAATGTGAACCTGGTCCGGTGCATAAAACGTCAGCGCTAGGGAGACAAAGGCGGCCGGGTGTAGTGCTGGCCCACCCACGCGCCTTCGTGTGCCGTGCCGGCCTTCATAGGTGCTCGCTAACAGCACTTGCCACGACAGTCTGTGAATGGCTATGCGGGGGGAGGGGCGGGGGGGGTCTTTGGCAGTGAGCCGCAGGATGTCTCCTGCCGACACTTACACATTGAAATGTGCACACAAACACAGGCACCGTCACGCATAGCAACAACCACAGACATCGCAGCTCGGACTCCTACACACACACGCACGCGCGAACGCGCACACAGATCAGCTCGCATCACCGGTCACCGCGTGTGTGCGGCGTGTGAATACATAACGGCTTGGGGATGCATTCATCCAGCAGTAAATTGATCATGGCTGATGATGATGGTGGTGATCTATATTTATCAATGTGTCTTTAACAAAGCAATGCTGCTGAAGCTCATGTGCATCGTACCCCCCCCCCCCCACCATCGGTGTTGGAGTCACCTGGCTGTGTGCAGTGACACTGGAGCGGCTCTTTGTTAAAGGGGAAATAAATAAATAAGCAATCCGCATGGTGGGGGGGGGGGGGTAGCGACGCCGCCACTGATGTTGAATTCTTTTAAAATGAGAAAATTTCGTCTACGTGCGCTACGTGCTCGCACGCGCTCAGTTTGGGGGGGGCGGGGGTGGGTCGTGCGGGTGGGCGGATGGGGGGCTCGAGGGGAGGGCTTCAGTGAGAGCCCGGGGGGGGGTGGTGGGTGGGGGAGAGCTCAGCCAATTACCCACGCCACTGCCGCGTCCTTTAGCGGTATTCGGGGCTCTTCAGCCACGCAGCGGTTAGCCGTTGCAGTGCCGGCAGCGCCGAGAGATTCTTCGTTCGGGGCCGTGGGTGTCTCTCGCTGTCGTTGAGGTTCACAATGTCCGTGTCAACCAACCACAAGGAGCCGGCACCGCTGAGATTCGCGTTTCAAGGCTCGAGCCCCCGAGTCTGGGCGTCTTTCTCTCGGCAGCCGCCATTCGTTTTGAACCGCCTCGCCGAGACAGACGACCGTGACACTCTGCTGCAGGTTAGGGGTTCATAATGGCCGTGTCTCTCAGCCGGGCACACTTAGCCAGCACCCTCGAATAATGCCGGTTCAGTGTTCAAGCCCTCGCTCTGGGTGTCTTTCCCAGCCACGGGACAAGATGACCGTCGCGCGTGATGATGCTATCGGCAGGCAGACGGTGCATGCTTCCCTTCAGGCGGCTGGGTTTTTTTCTTTTGAGTGCATTATTAACCCTTCATTGGACAGATAGTCTCCAACTCTCGTCGAGTGAAACCGTTTGCCCGAGAGTCGACGTGGCGTGGTGCTCGTCGGCCCGGGTCCCGTGCGCGTTCGCACAGACGCGCCAACGTCTGCGTGTGCGCGTCACCCGCGGCAGATTTTTAGCGGAGGCCCGTGAAGCCCTCTGCGTCTCTCTCCGTCTCTCTGCGTCTCTCTCCGTCTCTCACACGGGGCTCGTAACGACTGTCGGAGACACTGGGCCAGCACTGCTGAGATCCTGGTTTATGAATCACGATGGGTCCCTCCCTCCCTCCCTCCACCGTTTCCCTCCCTCCCCCTACTCTGCACCGATCCCATTCTCACACTCGCCCATCAGCCTCTTTGGTCTCGTGTAACAACAATGCAATTTGTAGCGTGCACAAATATCTGGCGGACACTTAATGACCGTGAGTGACTCTTGAGGTACGCAGCCAAGCTTATTTTTTATTTAATTTACAGATTCTCGGGTACAAAGAGCGCCGTCACGTTTCTACGGGGTCACGCTACGCGAGGTCTGCCCATACCTGCCAACCCCTTAGCGGTGCTGCCTGCCTTGTTACAGACCAACTCAGACCTTATTAGTCACCCCGTGCCCCTTATAAATCTCAACGTTCATCCTACAAAGTCCCATCACAATGGAGAAACACAAACAAATAAACCAAATTTTTTGCCCGTTTTGAAATGGCTGTACTCCGTATAGACGTAAAAACGAAATCTCCCTGTACAAGAATACGGAGTAAACCGTATGGGTTGACAGCTGTCCGCCTGTAACCCGGTTTCACCATGCGTGGCTCCGAAATCAATTCCTGGCAACACGGCTAACATCGGTGGGCGAGTGATATCTGAACCTGGACCTGGGTTTTCCCCGCCTCCCTTCGCCACACGCAATGACCAGTGTGGCGAAGTATGGTCAAACAACTAGACCTTCAGTCGGTAGTGGATTGACTTGGGCCTGCAAATAGTTAATCGTTTCCGCTTCACGGTAACGGCGCTGACGATGCTGACCGTGAGCCCGACGTTGTCCTCTGCCTTTGCCCCTGCCCAGCATGCCTGCCGCTGCTTGCCAACTCCCCGATGCTGATCGCCATGGTGGGCCTCCCGGCGCGAGGGAAAACGTACATCGCCAAGAAGCTGACACGCTACCTCAACTGGGTCGGCGTGGCGACGCGCGGTGAGGCTGCCTGCTGGCTTCAACGCCCGCCCGGGGGATGGAGGATGGAGGGTGGGGGGGGATGGAGGGTGGGCGGGGATTGAGGGGGGGGATGGAGGGAGGGCGGGGGATGGAGGGAGGGGGGGATTGAGGGAGGGGGGGGATTGAGGGAGGGGGGGGATTGAGGGAGGGGGGGGATTGAGGGAGGGGGGGATTGAGGGAGGGGGGGGGGATTGAGGGAGGGGGGGGATTGAGGGAGGGGGGGGATTGAGGGAGGGGGGGGGATTGAGGGAGGGGGGGGGATTGAGGGAGGGGGGGGATTGAGGGAGGGGGGGGATTGAGGGAGGGGGGGGATTGAGGGAGGGGGGGGGATTGAGGGAGGGGGGGGATTGAGGGAAGGGGGGGGATTGAGGGAGGGGGGGAATTGAGGGAGGGCGGGGGATGGAGGGCGGGAGGGGGGGGGATGGAGGGCAGGAGGGGGGGGATGGAGGGCGGGAGGGGGGGGGATGGAGGGGCGGGAGGGGGGGGATGGAGGGGCGGGAGGGAGGGAGGGGGGGGGATGGAGGGTTGAGGGGGGATGGTGGGATGGTGGGATGGAGGGAGGGGGGGAGGGGGGGAGGGGGGGGGTGGAGGGCGGGAGGGGGGGGGGGATGGAGGGCGGGAGGGGGGGGATGGAGGGGCGGGAGGGGGGGGGATGGAGGGGCGGGAGGGAGGGGGATGGAGGGGCGGGAGGGAGGGGGGGGATGGAGGGTTGGGGGGGGATGGTGGGATGGAGGGAGGGGGGGAGGGGGGGATGGAGGGAGGGGGGGGATGGAGGGAGGGAGGGGGGGGGATGGAGGGAGGGAGGGAGGGGGGGATGGAGGGAGGGGGATGAAGGGGGATGAAGGGGGATGAAGGGGGAGATGGCGCTGTGGGGGAGTGTCTCACCAAGTGTGTGTGTTCGTGCCTGCAGTGTTTAACGTGGGCGAGTACCGGCGCGAGGCCGTGCGCTGCTACAAGTCCCACGAGTTTTTCGAGCAGAAGAACGAGGAGGCGATGCAGATCAGGAGGTGAGGCCTTGTTCGCCCACCGCCGTCGAATTTAAGAACTGGTTCAGGGCAAAGTAAACAAATGAAGTTATTGTCATCGTGCATCTCAACGCTCTCTCATCTCTGGCGGTGCGGTGTTTTCAGCTCGCTACGTCATTCCCTTCCCGAGTGGCCAAAATCGACCTTACGTGGGAAGCTGAAAATAGTCGCGTTGACTTAGAAATTCCGGACAGCATAAACTGTGAAAATTTAATGACGCCAGAGCTCAGCGTTCAAGAGTTTTTGCTGCTTCACACAAACAAACAGATGTATAAATTTCGAGTTAAAGCTTTCGTGACTGCAAGGATTCATCTTCTTTGGTTATTTCGGTAAAGTCACGTAGAATGAGAATAAAACAATAAATTGATAAAATAAAATAACACAATAAAATTCTCACGACGTTTCGGCCACAACACAAGCGACCTTCATCAGGTGAAGGGACGAGACTGTCTGGAGGCCGAAACGTCGTGAGAATTTTATTGCGTTATTTTATTTTATCAATTTATTGTTTTATTCTCATTCTACGTGACTTTACCGAAAGAACCAAAGAAGACGAAACAGATGTATTTTCTGCTTTATAATTAAGATGCTCACTGAAGGACTTATATTCAAAGACTGAACGAAAAACGTCGTGGAAGGTTTGGGATGAAATCGGACGAAAGAGGAAAGCCGCGTGGACGAAATTTGAAATGTGGTTAGAATTGAAAACGGCCCAAACAGCAAAGCGACGAAAGTCAAGTGGACCAAAGTCAACGTATCGCTGTAACTTCATTTCATTTGGACGCGCAAAGGCGTGCACGCTCGAAATTTGACGCTGCGAGACGGGAAGAGACAAGCACGCGGATTAGAGATCACATGCAGGTCCGAGAGATCGTCGCGTTTGACTCTGAAGAGCAGCGAGTGTGAAGCTTGGGCTGGACGCGACATGGCCGGAAGGGATGGTTGCCGGTGGTTGAGCCTGCTAAAGGAGCGGCAGCTAAAGGTGGAAACACGTCCAAGAGATTTTGATTTAAAGCTTTCGTGACTGCAGGGATTCATATTCTTGGTTCTTTCAGTAAATTCATGCTTACGGTGGCTTTCAGACCGCATCCATTGTTTTTCGTCTCCCCCCTCCTCTTTTCCGAACATAGATGGACTCGTCCATCTGAACAAACTGTCAAATCTCTCTCCGTGGTCCAAACGTTAAAAAAACGCCACTTTTAAAAAATTTGATTGCTGTAGTTTTCACACCTGATGATGATTGCTTGTGTTGCAGTCGAAACAGTCGTGAGAATTTTATTGTTTTATAATTTTTATGATTTTATTGTTTCCCTTCTACGTGACTTTACCGAAAGAACCAGGAATACGTCGAAGAGATGTTTGGGGGATGTTGATGGCATTGGGAAACCTTAATCCAGAAGTGCATAGATCATGGCTGTCGCTGATGGTGATGATGTGGGTGTGTGTGTTTGTTGTGCTGCAGGCAGTGTGCCCAGGCCGCTCTGAGAGACGCGAGGAGATACATAGATGAGCAGCAGGGCCACGTGGCGGTGAGAGGAGGCGTCAAAACACCATCAAGACACCATCACAACACCATCACAACACCTTTTACAACATCGTCAAGACACCATCAAAACACCGTCACAAAGCCGTCTCAACATTGTTAACAAACGAATATAACACCATCATGACACCATCACAACTAACTTCCATCGTGAAACAATCACAACATCACCACCACACCACCCGTGTCAACACTGTCATGAAACCATTCAAACATGGTCACAGCACCTTCATAACACCGTCACAACTATTATCATTAATCCATCACAATGCCATCACAACGCCATCAAAACACCGTCCCGAAACTGTCATGAAACCATTAATGTGTCGTCACAACATCTTAACGACATCGTCACAACTCAATCATGAATCCATCACAACACCCGTCACAGCACCCTCACAATACCATTATAAAACCATTCAAACATCGTCTAAACACGTTCACGACACCGTCACAACTCCATCATGAAGCCATCATGAAACCTTGACAACACCGTCACAACACCGTCACAACACCGTCACAACAGCGTGTGCGTGTGTATGTGTCGTGTGTGTGTGTGCGTGTGCGGCGGTGGTTGTTGTGTGCTGTGAGCAATGCCATTGGGGGGGGGGAAGGCTGATCCTAAACAGCTGTTACGCTCATGGCGTGTTGGCAGCCACCGCAGTGGCCAACAGGGGCCCTGGATAGGTGTGAGGGGGTGCTGGTAACTCCTCCTCCGCCTTCAATGAAACTACCGAAAAAGAACAACAGGAAAAAAAAAACTTGATTTGGCGCTTTCTCGTGACTGCAGGGATTACTCCTTGGTTCTTTCGGTAAAGTCACGTGGAAAGAGAAAATAATAATTTAATAAGAGCGTACGACGTTTCGATTGCAACACAAGCAATCGTCATCTCGGGTACAAATGAAAGAGAAAACAAACCTTGTGAACTTAGAAATATAATGCAATACAACACAGATAGTCGGCCAACATAACAGTCAACACCATACCTGGTTGATGACCGCAGTGGCCAACAGGGGCCCTGGATAGGTGTGAGGGGGTGCTGGTAACTCCTCCGCCTTCAATGAAACTGCCGAAAAAGAACAACAGGAAAAAAAAAACTTGATTTGGCGCTTTCTCGTGACTGCAGGGATTACTCCTTGGTTCTTTCGGTAAAGTCACGTGGAAAGAGAAAATAATAATTTAATAAGAGCGTACGACGTTTCGATTGCAACACAAGCAATCGTCATCTCGGGTACAAATGAAAGAGAAAACTAACCTTGTGAACTTAGAAATATAATGCAATACAACACAGATAGTCGGCCAACATAACAGTCAACACCCTACCTGGTTGATGACGTTCTGCCAAAGATTGCTAGATTTTTAAGAGGGAGACAAAACAGAACCGGAGACACACAGACGGACACACAAGCAGAGAGAGGCAACACAGAGACACACCGAGAGAGACACATGCATAGGCACACAACGCCTCTGTGTCGGGGCCTTAAATAGAGAAGGGGGTAGAGAGAGAGGGGGAGGGTAGAGAAATTACCATGTCAATGAGAGATCTGGCAAGAACGCAGGAAACTAGAAAACGAGGAGAGACGGAGAGAGAGAGAAACCACACTAAATCAAACAAACTCAGTAATATTTGGAAACGTCATCAACCAGGTAGGGTGTTGACTGTTATGTTGGCCGACCATCTGTGTTGTATTGCATTATATTTCTAAGTTTATTAGGTTTTGTTTTCTCTTTCATTTGTACCTGATGACGATTGTTTGTGTTGCAATCGAAACGTCGAATGCTATTATTTAATGTATTATTTTATCTTTCTACGTGACTTTACCGAAAGAGCCAAAGAGTAACAGAAAAAAAGATGAACGCCCGCTTGTGCCGGATGCCCCGCGGGGAGGGGGCAGGCGCCTATGACGTCTCGTGACCAACGCCGCTTTGGCGGAGCCAGGAAACTCAACCACCCCCTCCCCCCCCCCCCCATGGGTTCCTCCAGAAACATCAGAAAACCACTGCGGCTGGCAACATGGACTGTTCGATCGCTCAGTACGGAGGAGAGGCTGCCATTCTTCTGTCAGGAGCTGGACCGGCGCTGCCTGGACCTCTGTGGAATGCAGGAGGTCCGGTGGGTTGGTTCTGGCTCCAGTAACTGAGGGGTGGAACAGTCCTCCACTTAGTGCAGCAAACTGCCAAACAACATTAACTAATGAAGGGGGCATGGGGATCGTGTTGGGGTGGTGTGGGAAGCTGTGAATCTCAGACTACTGTGGGCTCATCTCATCAATGGCGGCAAGGAATGAAGGTGGTGGCTGATTCCCCTACCAAATATGAACATCAGTGGAGGGACGCAGGCAGGGCTGATGAGTCGGATGGTTTCAGCGAGTGAACCCATGGCACCTGAGTCTGTCCTGCAAAGCCGCAAGCCTTGCGCACGTCACATGACCTCACAGTGCACCTAGCCTGCCACAACCGCCGTGGCGATGTCACCACCACTTTGTGGCGAACGGCGGCTGCTGTTGTGTGTGCACGCGTGTGTAGGTGTTTGATGCCACCAACACGACGAGGGAGCGTAGAGACATGATCATCAACTTCTGTCACGACTGCGGCTACAAGGTGAGTTAGTCGCAGGGCAAGTCGTTGGCGACAAGGCGAGTCCGTTGGCGATGGGCAAAGTCATTGGCTGTGGGTCGAGTCGTTAGTGATTATTTTCCCGCTTGTTTACTCAGTGAAGCCTCGCTGAGTCTCAAGACTGGGTGATAATTGCTGTGCGTGTCTCAATTGAGTAATTTGCAGTGTAACTTAAAAGTTCCCCAAATTTGGGCAACATTTTTTTTTCAAATGACATCACGGGATCTTTAACATCCACTGTAAAGCGCACCTTATATAAATTAACATAGCGCATGATTCCAAAGCACATAGTATTTTATTAACCAGGACGGCCTGCTGGTTTGGAACCGCGAACCTCTGCAACAAGCTTCCTCGCGTATCTCCGTCCAGCGTGGAAGAGTAGACCAAACACCCTCTAGCGGGGGGGTGTGGCGGGGGGAGGTGCTCTCCCGCCAGCGGTGGCCGTGAGCAAAGCGGTTGCGGGGCCCTGCGCCTGTGGTCATGTGACGATGTCGCCGACGCGCGTCGCCTGTCCCTCTGTTTCAGCTGCTCTTCGTGGAGTCGCTCTGTGATGACCCGGACGTGATCGCCTCCAACATCGCGGTGAGCCGCCTCCGCGTTTTGCCCGCCGCCCTTCCGCGTCTTTTGCCCGGGGAGGCATCGAATGCTTCCCCCCCCACCCCTCCCATCGCCGAAGGCTTGGCCTCCTTTCTAAATTCTCATTTTTTTTAACTGTCGCAGTCGCTCTGCGGCATCCGCATTTGACTCGGTTCGGATTCGGAAGATGCCGAGCCAACGTGTTCCGTCGGCTCGCTGTGCGGCCGCGGCCGACCGTGGGCCCATCGCGTCACTCGTGGGGACCCCCGGCACCGTGCTCGGGGCCTAGCTCAGCGCTGGTGGGGGTAACGAGACCACAACAATTGGAATTGTACGAAATGTATAAAAATGCGTGCACGGGCAAACGGCATCATGTGCATTTACAACAGCTATTTCGAAATTTTCCATCGAACGAATATCATTTATAATCAAAAAATCTAATAAATACTTAATAACGAAACAGACAAGAAGTATACCGAAGAAAATTTGAACATTTGTGACGAACATCTACATCATGGGACCTCCTTTGGCAGTACCAAAATATGAGAATAGGTTTTCCCCTTTTTTCTGGCAACAAAACAGCTGTCTTAAGTTGTTAAAACACCAAACTGAAACCTTTTACAAGGAATCATGTCTGCATTAACCACAATGCTTGTGGTCAGAAGGCTTTGTACGCCTTTTGGCGTCCTCTGGTCTAACACCATTTTGAGACGAGGCTCAAAACAAAGCTGTCTCTGGTGTGGACCAATCAGTTTCAAGGACAATGCTACATATATTATCAGTGTGTGTTTTTTTTTGCATTTTGACCACAAGTATTGTGGTTGATGCACACATGATTCCTTGTAAAAGGTTTCAGTTTGGTGTTTTAACATCTTAACACCTATTTTGTTGCCAGAAAAAATGGGAAAACCTATTCTCATTTGTGACGAACCTAAAAACGAATAATCGTAAATAGAATTAACATACATCTGGGTACTCCTGTACTGTGCGTAGACCAAAGTGTCACTTCATCGCGGGCTCTCGGAGGTAGCTCTTTGATATCCACTTCCATTGGAAGGGTTGCACTGCTCTGTGATATTTCCCGGGTGGATTGAGCCTAAGGCTAAACTCCGCGATGCGCGGGCGTGCTTTCGTGCCTGCGTGTGTGCACGCTATGGGGCGACAGGAAGTGAAGCTGAGCAGCCCGGACTACAAGGACTTCGACCTGGAGACAGCGCGGGACGATTTCATCAAGCGCATCGAGTGCTACAAGACCGCCCTACCAGCCCATTGACGACGAGGTGGACAGGTAAGGAGGGGGCGATATCTGCACGGGGTCGACCGCGAGGACTACGAACGGTGCGAAAGAAGTTCAACGTACATGCGGACATCCGGCGGTTCAGCGGGATTTGCTTCGAGCAGCCTGGCTGCTGAAAGTGGAGACCAACACGGGGTTGGGAACGCGCAGACTGAACGGTCTCGTTGTCCTGTCCCCCCCCCCGCCCCCGCCCGCGCGGCCGCCCCAGCGAGCTGTCCTACATCAAGATCATCAACGTGGGGCAGCGCTTCCTGGTGAACCGCGTGCGCGACCACGTGCAGAGCCGCATCGCCTACTACCTCATGAACATCCACGTGCAGCCGCGCTCCATCCTGCTGTGCCGCCACGGCGAGAGCGATAGCAACGTGCAGGGCCGCATTGGCGGGGACCAGGGCCTCACGGCGCGCGGCCGCCAGGTACGGTAGCGTGCGTGTGTACGCGTGGGGAGCGGTAGTGTAGCGGTTAGCGCTACGCTCCGCTATGAACCCGGCGACCCGGGTTCGATTCCCGCTCACGGCCAACACCGGTGACGATTATCTGAACCGGTCCCGGGCCTCCCCTAGGTCGACTCGGCCTCAAATGGCGATGTGTAAACATCGCCATTGGGGAGACAAAGGCGGTCGGGCGTGGTGCTGGCCACCCACCCCCTCGTGTACCATTCCGGCCTTCATAGGTGCTCGCTAACAGCACTTGCCCCTACAGTCTGTTAAGGCTATACGGGAGATCTTTGTCTTTGTTTCATGGCGCCCGCTCTGCCTCTCTCCGTGCACATGTCCGTGTGGAGAGGTCGGAGACAGTCGCCCTCCAACAAAAATGGAGGGCCAGAGGAGCGACGCTCACGAGTGGAGCGCTGGGCGTTTAAAACGCAGCAAGTTTGCACAGTAGGGGGCACATGTGGTGCATCTGGCAGGCATCTCAGTCAGTCAACCCGTGACACCTGGGTCTGTCACGTGACCTCCTGTCAGCGAGCCTTGGACACTTCACGTGACCTCAAAGTGAATCTGCCCTGGCACAGGCGCTGTGGTGACATCGCCGTCACCTGGTGGTGAATGGCGGTTATTGGTATTGGTGGAGAAAATTACGTTGGCGTTGTGGTTGGCGCCCCTACTCTGAGAACCTGGCGACCGAGTTCCATTCCCGCTCACGGCCAACACCGGTGACGATTATCTTAACCGGTCCTGGGCCTCCCTGAGGTCAACTCGGCCTCAAATGAGTACCTGGTGCGGTGTGTAAACATCGCCACTCGGACGCGGTGCTGGCCACCCACCCGCTCGCGTGCCCGTGCCGGCCTCCATAGGTGCTCTCGGAGAGCACTTGCCCCAGCAGTTTTTGTAGGCTACACGGGGCACCCTTGTCTTTGTGCGCGTGGGTAGTTTGCTGGTGCGCTGTGCCGCTACGTGGAGGATCAGAACGCGCTGGCGCTGCGCGTGTGGACGAGCCAGCTGCGCCGCGCCATCCAGACGGCCGAGGCGCTCGCGCTGCCCTATGAGCAGTGGAAGCCCCTCAACGAGCTGGACGCCGTGAGTCCTCCCTGCCCCCCCGCGCGCCCTCGCCACTTGGCCCGCCAATTGGTGACTCGATGGCAAGGCGTAGCCGCCCGTGCGAGCGGCCCGAGCTTCCGGAAGGTGCTCGCTCGCAGCGGCCGCCCCAGGGGCTTCACGCGGGAATCTCTCTCGCTGTGCTTTTGCATGCGTGCGCCGTGCAGGGATTTGCGAGGAGATGACCTACGATGAAATTGAGCAGAGGTTCCCTGAAGAATTCTCTCTCCGCGCCGCCAGCAAATACCACTACCGCTACCCCAACGGGGAGGTGAGCTCACCCACTGACCCACTCACTCACTCACTCACCCACCCAACCACTCGCTGACCACCCAACCACTCGCTGACCCCACCCAACCACTCGCCCCACCCACCCAACCAGTCGCCCACCCACCTACTCGCTGTGGCATGTAATCACATTGATGATTTTTCACTGTGGCGTGTAGTCACAACGTTGACGATTTGCCACGTCTGCTCTTCCTTCTCTCCCCACCACTACCTTTTCATCCCTCGATCTCTCTCTCTCTCTCCTCCTCGTCCCTCTCCCCCGCCGCCGTAGTCGTACCAGGACCTGGTGCAGCGGCTGGAGCCGGTCATCATGGAGCTGGAGCGGCAGGAGAATGTGCTGGTCGTGTGCCACCAGGCCGTCCTGCGCTGCCTGCTCGCGTACTTCCTCGACAAGGGGGCAGGTACTGCCCTCCCCCGCCCCCCCCGCTGCCCTCCTCAACACGACCCCCTCCACTAACCCAGCCCTGAACCCCTTTCCTCTCTTAAAAAAAAATTGGCAGGGTGGGGGGAAGGGGGTGGAGGGGAGCCGCCCCAGGGCGCTGTGTCGCCGATATCTGCAGCTCTTGCAGCCACAGAGTGTCCCGTGGCCGTAAGAGTTGCAGATTTCGTGCGGACGAGTTGTGATTACCGGTATAAATGAGTAGAGCCTGGCGGCATGACAGCAAGTCTGTGTGTGTGTGTGTGTGGGCGAGTGTCTCGGGTTGAGAGTTGACCGGTTGGGGTTGACCCTCTGGCGTTCCTCCCCCTAGACGAGCTGCCCTACCTCAAGTGCCCGCTGCACACCGTGTTCAAGCTCACGCCGGCAGCCTATGGTGGGTCTCGCACGCGGACAAAGATCCCCCTGCATTGTCCACGTGGTATCTCGGGGCAAGTGCTGTTAGCGAGCACGATGGGATGATGTGGCCAGCACCACTCCCGACCGCCTTTGTATCCCAAGTGGCGATTATTACACACCGATGGGTACTCATTTATAGCTCTGTCGACCGGGGGGAGGCCCACGACCGGTTTAGATAATCATCACGGATGTTGGCTCAGAGCGGGAATCGAACGCGGGCCGCCGTGTTTGTAGCACAGTGCGCTAACCGCTGCGCCAACACTCCCCGCACTAACAATCGCACGCACACAAATACAACAACAGCCGCCGTTCACGGCTGTTGTTGGGGGGTAATGTCAACATGGTGGTTGTGCCAGGTTAGGTGCACTTTGAGGCCACGTGAGCTGCCAGAGGCTCAGTGGCAATTCACGTGACAGTCCCATGCCCCAGGAGTTGACTGATATGACTGGCAGATGGCACCACCTGTGCTCCACCTTGTGCCAACAAGTTTTAGCCAGCTGGTGCTCCACTGATTGTGGGCGTCCCTTATCTTGGAGGGCGACTGCCTCCAACAACCCAGTAGCATCCTTCAGGAGCCTTCTCCATAGTGGCCGATCTTGACACCGCCTGGTACCAGTCTTCAGCAAGTTTACTCAGCTCCACTACCCTTGTACCACATAAGTCCATGTCTTCTCTGGCCCCGTGCCACACCCGTTTAGCCCCTCTCTATCCAGCCCCATCTATCTGGCCAAACACAAGCTGCTTGGGCGCGCAGTGGCTGGGAATGTGGGCTACGTGACCAGAGGCGCTCACTGATGGGACTGTATTCGGATATTTCAAGGATTTGTGAGCTCCTCACACAATCTAGCCTCGTTAAACCAGGCTAGGTGTGTGGGTGGGGAGTCGGTGATCTCCGGAGCCTCGTACGTAATCTCGTTTAAAACGGTGCTGATGTCTTCTGTGCCTGTTGCTCAGGCTGCAAGTTGGAATCTGTTCACCTGGATGCAGACCAGAACGAGTACAAATGGAGATGGACACTCAGTAAGCTGACTCGCCCACATGCTGTCCACCATGCTCACCACTCACCAGCTCACTAACCCACCCACATGCTGGTCATGCACTCACCCCCTCCTTGTGAGCTACTAAATCGCTCATGCACCGCCTCACTCCTCCATTCACCCTACAACTCGCTTTTCCCCTCGCCTTTCATGGGCTCACTCACTCACCCTCTCACCCTTCCCCGAGTTCACTATCCCACTCACTCACTATCTCCCATTTATTCATCCACTCGCTCACCCACTCACTGTCCCATTCATTCATCCACTCGCTCACCCACTCACTGTCCCATTCATTCATCCACTCACTCACCCACTCACTCACCCCTGCCCTGAGCTCACTATCTGACTCACACGCCCCGCCCACCCACCCACCCACTCGCTCACCGCACAGTTATGCCGACGGCCTGTTTGTGCGTGCCTCACGTGTCATTCCGGTGGCTGTTGTTGCTGTGTGCAGAGCGCCACGCGGGAACCGGTGACAAAACGCCGCGTGCCCTGAAACCGGCTCGCGCAACCCAGTCGCCCTGCGTCCGCTTGGCGGGACGTCCTGAGCGAGGGCGGCCTGCGCTCGGCAGGGGATCGTAGCGGCCGGGCCGGCGTCGCACGAGCGATTCCCAAGCGCGGACGGCGCCTCCGTCGCTCAAACAGCCCGAGCGTGGCTCCACGCGTCGGCGATTCCGTCGCGTTGCGGGCCGAGTTTGTTGCGCGCGGGCGCGGCTGCGGGGACGGAAAGCGCCACCCGCGGGTCGAGTGACAGGGTCCTCCCGGGAAGCACAGGGTCCTCATTTTTTGGCTTTTAAAATGCAGACGACGACGCCACCGCTGCGCCAGGGCCACTGCCGATCGTGCGGGTAGCCGGAGTACCCCCCCGCGCCCGTGACATGAGAGTACGTTCGTTAGTTATGAGCTGCTCCTCACTCGCCCCCCGTGCGGGGGGGGGTGGGCGGGGGTCAGTGACTCGGTGGCTCACTTTTTACAGCAAAATGCGTGGAGAAGAGTAATCGGATTACTTTAGTAGAACCCGCGGAAAGATCCGCGTGTTCCCAACCCCCATTGCGTGCTGGTGAACAATACAATCGCCAGATTCTCCGATTATAAGACGCGCATATTTTTTTTAAATCTAAGTTGGGGGGTGCGTGTTACAATCCCCGGTAGCTGTGGGGATGCGAATTATGCCGGAAACTTGTCGACATGTTCGAGCGGTTTTTTACCGGGAAAAGGTTTGAACGCCACAATATTTTGTGTTTCCAAAATAACGTGGTGGGGGGGGGGGATATCCGACTAAGTAATTTTTTTTTCCCCAAAAAAACCTCCGTGAATTTATGCGTTTTGTTTTACTTTATGCGTTATTTATTAAAGTGATGTCTCTCATCCGAGGGGTCAAAGGTCACCACAAATGACTCGCCCGTTACCCGACAACCACGTAGCTGTGTTTTTTTCTATTTTTTTTTTTTAAACTGTTACTGTGCACAGACCGAAAACGTCAAGCGGCCTGGGCAGTGAGCAGTGCGTGTAAAAGTTGTATTCGATAAAGAGCGTGACACGTTTCTTGAGTTGAGTAAGGTCGTTGTTTGGAACTTGGGGGGAAAAGACGACGATGGGGGGGGAGGGGCGGGGGAATTCCACAGCGGAGCAGTGCAGGGGAAGGAGCAGAGAGAGGGGTGAGGTGACCTGCGGTGTGGTGAGTAGGTGAGGGAGATAGTGGACGGATGGGTGAGTGTGGGAGCTAGAATGAATCGGAATGTTTATCCTGGAGAAATCCGATGAGCTATGAAGCTCTTTTTTTCAAAATGCCCACTATTTTCACAGATGTCCAGTGTGTGGATGAGTGAGGGGAGGGAGTTACCATACCTGTCAACCCCTTATCAGTGCCTACCTTATTACAGACCAATTCAGACCTTATTGGCCACCCCATACCCTTACAAATTGCAACGTTCATCCTACAAAGTTCCATCAGAAGGAAGAAACGCAAAAAAATGGACAATTTTTTTTTACCCCGTATTGAGACGGCAATATGCCGTATGGACCTGAAAACTCAATTTCCCCGTACAAGAATGCGGGGTAAACCGTATGGGTTGCCACGGTATGCGAGTTACTGAGTTGGGTGACTGGGAGTCACGGCAGCGGTCATCGTTGTCCGATGCCAACCTGACACCTCAAGTCTTCAGTTTTGTGTTGCGTGAACGAGGAGCGAGCAGTGGTCGAATCCCCCGGGGTGGTGACTGCAGGAGACGGTGAGCCCGTGGAGTTTTTATTGTTGTTATTTTTATTTTGTATCGTCGCACTTTCCTGACCATACTTGAGTCCAAACCTGTGACTTTTTGCTACCACAGTTTGTGCAGGTCGCCCAACCCGTAACGTTTGGGAGTCCTTGGTCAAGGGGCGCTGTGTAGCCGCGCGCTTTGTGTGATGCGTGCGGCGTGTTTACGCCATGCGGTTTACACGCAAAATAATATTTCGCGTCAACGCAATAGCACTATTTAACACGCAGACGATCCTAATCATTTTACGTACGTCTCTCTCCACGTAAAAAAATAAAAAGTTTCGTTTTTTTCACACATCCCAGCAGCCACACGACCTTCTGAGAGTGCCGAATTTCAGCGGCAAAATTCTGAACCGGTTTTAACATTCGGGCGACGCGAATGATTACTTTGTGTTCGATATTATTTCGCGTTAATCTAGCAAACCATGCCGAACTGAGAGAGGCTCTTTCCTTTGTCGATAAACATCTGGCAGCTCACCAGCATCCGTTCGAGCAAGGCTTACTGCTGGTGAGACACTGCGTGTTGAAACTGACTTAAAGCTTTCCTGACTGCTAGGAATTCATATTCTTTGGGTCTTTCGGTAAAGTCACCTAGATGACGACCGCTTGTGTTGCGATCGAAACATCGCAGGTTCAAAGAAAATAACAATAAACTTATCTACATGACTTCACCGAAAGACCCAAAGAATATGTTGAAACTGGTCCAGAGCTTTGCTTGTGTTGAACCGACGTTGTTGAAAATGATGCATTCAGAAGTTAATGTGGCTTATGGGATGTGTAAAAAATATATCTTTGTGGAGGGAACAATATGAGGGGGGGGGGATAAACTGTCTGCTGATTTGTGTCGTATTTTCAAAACGGTCCTTTGCATTTTGACTTAACTTTCGTGACTGCAGGAATTCATATTCTTGGTTCTTTCGGTAAAGTCATGTAGATCGGAAATAAAAAATAATATATATTTTTTTGTATTCTATCTACGTGACTTTACCGAAAGAACCAAGAATATTGTCCTTTGCAGCCACGAAACACACGATGCTTTAATGCAAGCGTTCATGGAATAATATCTTTCGCCTCGCGTAGAAATGTAGCGTAAGTTTTCTCCATAATATAGGTTTTCTTTTGTTTTGGTTAGATCGTGCTCATTCCTGAACCAAACTTGAGACCGAACCTGTGACTTTTGCACCACAGTGCACGGTTTGCAGGTCGCCAAGCCCGTAACGTTTGGGAGTCCCTTGGTCGAGGAGCGCTGTTGAAGCCCCACGCTTTGTGCGATGCGTGCGGCGTGTTAACGCCATGCGGTTTACACGCGTAAATACGCGCGGTCTAACAAACAAACAGAAAACTATATTACGGATGAGATTGGTCGCGTAAGCCTGCGTGTTAAACCTACGTTTTATTTTCAGTTGTTATCGTCATCATCTATGTTTTAATGGTCCGCACGTTTAATGTGGCAGAGGAGCGGAGGTCCGTTGACGAGAGTCTTGTTGTTGTTGTCTTGGGCCCTCCCCATCACGTTGCGTCAGGTGGCGTCGTCGCCACACGTGCTGTGACAATTCTACAGCAGCGTTTCTCCACTAATTTTCAGAGGGAAAGGAACGGGAGGGGGGGGTGCCACTTTCGCCGGTGAGACATCAGCGACGGGGGCTGCCACCCTGTCTGCCATGTTCATTATTTGTGTTCTTGCCTATAGCCCGTCGTCCAAGGACGCGTGAATATTGCAGTCAATCTGAAATATTCAATCGAAAATAATGACCCGCTCATGATTATTAATGAGGGTTGGGGGGCGGGGTCCAAATGAGTGGCGTCATCAGCTAATGATTGATGGGGGGGGAGCTCCATGTGGAGTGACGTCATCCGCTCATGATTATTAATGCGGGGGAGGGGTGTGGCATGTGGAGTGACGTCACCCGCTCATGATTATTAATGAGGGGGGCTCACGTTACCCGCTCATGATTATTAATGGCGGCGAGGGGTGCGGCATGTAGAGTGACGTCACCCGCTCATGATTATTAATGAGGGGGACGTCACGCGCGGGACATTTTTGGCTTATTAATAATTGTCGTGGGTGGGGGAGAGCCCACGTCAAGGCCTGCACTCAAGGCCCGCACGCAAGGCCACGAGGGGCTGCCTGTGGCCCTGCGAGGCCTTGCATTGAAGAGCACCAATCCAAGCGGAAATCGCCTTCTCACGGCTGGAGACGTGAACTCTACGCGGAGTCGGTTTTCGCAGCGACGCTTTTACGATTTGCCATCGATTTTTATTTTTTAAATGTTTTTTTGCGGGGAGGAGGGGGGGTTTAAGGCCACGTGATTATCTGGGCCCCACGCTTTGTGACGTCGTGGACGTCCAACCAATCAACCAACACCCGACGGTGGGCAAGGAAATTTAATTGCCACGCGTGCGGGCGTTTAACCCCAACGATGATGTTCGTTTTTTTTGCGGGCTCGTTCTCGCTGGTAGAGTCGAAGAAATATTTTTTGTTTCACAGCTAAACTGAGCAGTTCGTTTACCGCGACCCTTTTGAAACCGCATCAAGCATGTTCAGGACAAGCCAGACGCGACACGTCCGATTGCGATCCAGGTGGCGTACTGGGTTCAATTCTGGCCTCCCAGCGAGTCGAATCGACGTTTGACGAAGGGGTCGTCCATAAATGACGTCACGCACCTGGGGGGGGGGTTTGAGATATGTGACGTCACATCAAAATGCGCAACTTTAAATAAATATGTAAGCACGATATTTTAAAATAGACTTTTCAATCAATGTTTTCTCCTACAACATCAGAGTGCAGCGCCACATTAAATACGCACTATGAAGCGTGTTTTGTTTTGGAGGGGGAGAGCAGAGCTTTGTGACGTCATATTTGAGGGGGGGGGGTCTGACTGTGACGCCGTGTCACGATGGGGGGAGGGGGTCAAAAATCGTCCAAAATCGCGTGACGTCATTTATGGACGGCCCCTAAAACGCTCCTCCGTTCACGTGCGCGTGTACACCACCCCCTCCACCCCCAAATGTGTTTGGCCGTGTCGGGTGGTGGAGGGTCCTGCGGCGCGAATTAATGTTGTCCAGATCGTTGCGTGGCCTAACGCGCGAACCCACGCCGTGGTCTGGGGATGTTGCGGCGCCCTCGTTTCTCGGGGGGGGGGGGGCAGGGTGGGGGCGGGGGGGGCAGGGTGGGGGTCTGGGGACGCGAGGTCGACCCGCCGCGATCGACCCCACTCGGTCTGGGAGGATTCCCACCCCTCGCCTCCCCTCCCCACCCCTCGCCTCCCCTCCCCACCCCTCCCCAACCCCCCTCCCCACCCCTCCCCACCCCTCCCCTCCCCCACCCCTCCCCTCCCCCACCCCTCCCCTCCCCACCCCCTCCCCCACCCCACCCCCTCCCCACCCCCTCCCCACCCCCTCGCCTCCCCACCCCTTGCCTCCCCACCCCACCCCTTGCCTCCCCACCCCACCCCCTTGCCTCCCCACCCCTTGCCTCCCCACCCCTCGCCTCCCCACCCCACCCCTCCCCACCCCACCCCTCCCCACCCCTCCCCACCCCACCCCACCCCTCCCCACCCCTCCCCTCACCACTCCAACCCACCCGGGCTGCGATGGCTGCAGCTGTGTGGGGGGGGGGGGCCTTGATTTCATGTTGGGAAATAAAGTAATTTTCAGAAACATTGCCCTCTCGCGTAGGTGTGCAGAACTTCTTTCGCACCGTACGTAGCCAACCATGCTATAATCTCTGCCGTGACTTTGACGTTTCAGCTGTTTCATCATCAGCCATGGTCAGTCCACTGCTGGGTGACGGCCTCCCCAACCTCGGTTGCGGTGTCGTTGGTGCAGCCAGAGGGCACGGCGACAACAACAGCACAACAACAGCACAACAGCAGCACAACTACAGCACTACAGCACAACAATGAGCAGCGTTAACGCCACGCACGCACCCAACCGCCTTGCGTCATGACGTCACCGCGAACAAATCTACGCATAGATGACGTCACCTCGCACGCTACACCGCCGTGCACCGTGACGTCACCTCGCACGATACACTGGCGTGCCATTTCTTACGTCCCCCGCGCTACACCGCCGCACGTTACGTCATCCAACCCCGCGCGCAAGTTCATGTCGCGATGACGTCACGCCCTTCATCCAGGCCACCATGATGTCACGCGCGTTTCTCATCCAAGGCGCAGTGACGTCATCGCGCACAACGGCCCCGTTGCGCGCGACGTCATCCGTCGCTGCGTCCCTCCCCCCCCCTCTTTGGCACGTACGCGTCCGGATTGGCCTCGCGCGCGTCACGTGGTGTCCCATCGCGACCACCACCACCCCCGTCGCGCACGCTGAGGGCACCCCCCCCCACTCACCCCCTCCCTCCCGGGTAGCTGGGCGCCTCGCGGAGCTGAGGAGGCGGTGGTGGTGGTGGTAGCGGTAGCGGTGGTGGCGGTGTCTGTGTCAGCGGCCGCGACGCTACCCTCCGTACAACAGCCCCACGCCACCGAAACCCACCGACGCGCGCGCTCTCGCCGCCTCGGGCTTCGCTCTCGCCGTTGCATTCCGCCGATTAATTTAAAGATCGTTCGCTCGCGTTATTATTATTATTATGCTTCGCTTCGAAGGCTCGCGGGCGGCTCACGGGCGGGCGAAAGGCTGAAGAGAGAGGCGAAGAGAGAGGGAGGGAGGGAGCGGTGGTGGGGCCGTCCGGGACCCACGCTAATTTCACGGCGTTAATTAACGAGAGCTGGCTGGGGGGTGGGGGGTGGTCGTTGTTGTTAAATTCGCCTGCGCTCCGCCGCCGCCGCAGCCGCGCGTGCCGACAATGAAATACAAGCCCAACCAGACGCGGACGTTCGACGGGGACGGCTACAGGAAGAGAGCCGCGTGCCTGTGCTTCAGGAGCGAGTCGGAGCAGGAGGTGAGCCGGGGGGGAGGTCGTTTTTAAGCACAAGTCCTCACACGGCAAACACAACAACAATAACAATAATAACACCACAACAACAACAACACCCGCCATGAAGCCACGTCACGGCGCCCGTGTGCCAGGCGAGGTGCACTCTGAGGCCACGTGAAAGCGCTCGCCGACGACACCGGAGGAGGTCAAAATCCGCGCAACGGAGGAGGCGGAGGAGGCGGCGGCGGCGTGCCGGTCCCTTTCGCCTCACGCGTCTCTTCGTCTCGTGGCGTTTGTTCTTTAAATCTGCGCCTTGCTGTAGCGAGCTTTCTAATCGTGAGCGGGAGGCCGTGGGTTGTGCCGTGGGGGGGTGGAGGGGGGTGCTGATAAGACTCCGAAGGGGCTTTCGGGGGGGACGCGCTGACGTCACGCGAGGGGGGGGGGCGCGTGGTGACGTCGTTTCGCGGGCAGCCGCGGTCAAAATCCACTGCTGGATGAGTGGCGCCTTGCCTGCCTTGCCTGCGATGCTCTGTGTTGTCCCGATTATGGAGGGGCCACCGCTCGATTTTGTTGCTTTAAATGAGAGTGGGGGTGGCGAAATGTTGACTCCCTCGCTTGGTATGCAACAAGGAGGGCCGTGGGCTCCATCCCGACCCTTGACGCCTGCTGTATATTTGGATGAGAAAATAAGAATAGGTGTTTACCCTTCCTCCCCAATGAAGATGTTCAAGCGCCAATTAGAAAGCCTTTTCAAGGAATCAAGTCTTTATTTGGAGTTTGCGCGTCTCTAGTTCCCTCGCCCCGTGATCGCGTGGATTTTTCTGCGCGTCCTCCGTTATTGCCCCTCCACATTTAGAATCAACGTCACGGCGTTTAGGGCATTTGGCTTGCTATAAATTTCCACAAGATAAGCCGCTTCGTTGAGCCCATCGTTTGTGATAGCCAACCAAGGTCGCGTCTGAAAAAAGGGAGCCCATATAACTCGGCGGGCCTTCTTACCTGGTAAAAAAATAAAAAAAATGTGTTTAGTTTAGAATACGGCAGCAGCAGCAGCAGCTGCCCATGGCTGCGTTCTGTAATCCAGTACAGGGCCAGCCTCTGTGAATGATCGACTTTTGCACAGACCCCCATATGCTGTCTTGACTGCATCTTTCCACATAAGAGCTGTCCGCACTGCTTCTGTCCAGCGTCTTCAGATTTGTACTGTCGTCACATTTAGACGCCCAATCATTCCACATTGTATTGCATGCGAGTCTACGGGCCTGTATGTGAGCCTATGCATGTCTTGTAAGTCTGTGGGTCCCTGTGCGAGTCTCAAATAGGCATCTATATGATGACTGGGTCTTTGTGTAAGTCTGACTGTGAAAGACTATTGGTCTATTTGAGTACAATATAGGGATATATATGGTTATATATCTAAGTGAGTATATCTGTGGGTATTTGTTTGGTTTTCTGTTTAAGCATTTGGGTCCTTGAATATATTGGTTTCTTAAGTTTAGAACATGGATAGCTATGGAAATCTATGAGTCTTTAGTCTATGGATGTATATTACTCAGTTTTTGGGGAAAACTGGGTTGTTTGTGTAACTTTCATTGTGTGTTTGTGTGTGCATGTGTCAGTGTGCATTGGTCAGCGAGCCTTCAACCCTTCAAGTGGCCTCAAAGTGCACCTGGCCTGGCACAGGAGCCATGGTGACGTCACCATCACTTAGTTGCAAATGACGGGGTATTGGTCTTGGTGTGCATATCAGCGCTGGGGAGACAAAGGCGGCCGGGGGGGGCACATGGTACCCTTGCGCGTGCGCCATTTAGGCTATAATAGGGGTGCTCGTTATAGCAGCATTTGCCCCATCAGCTACGTGGGTGATCTGTGGTGTTCTTCTCTTGCGTAGGGCATCAATATGTTCAGGAGCTTCAGATGACAATGTCGAGGTCTGCTGGCCACGAGAAAGTTTGTGTCGATTCGCCGCTCCTCTGTTGAAGGAGTGCACAGACTACGGTGGTTTTAGTAATATGGTCCACGGTTTGGATCGCATGGACCCAGTCGCACCACTCTGGCTTATCTTTCATTCATCTGTGTCTCTGTATCTCCTTGTGTCTCTTGTGGGTTTTTCCATATAATTCACAGTTCTGATTGTGTGGCCCCAATGTCTTTAATTTTGACATTCAGCGGCCTGTTGATGTTCTGATGCAGTTAATATTGTTCCGTCAGTGTGTTTGAGGAGGAATGGCCAGGTGGTTGCGATATATGGGTCTCAAATGAGGCGTTTATTCTGGACGTCTGCATTGTTCGTCAGCGTTCTTCCAGATCTGAGTGAGATTCTAGAATGGTGTTGATGTTAAACATGTGTTGCTGTGTCGGTGGGCGTTCCTGTGTGTTTACCTTGCCTGTAACGCACATATAGCCATCTCAACCCTACAGCCCTGACCCTATAGCCCTAACCCTATAGCCCTAACCCTATAGCCCTAACCCTACAGCCCTAACCCTACAGCCCTAACCCTATAGCCCTAACCCTATAGCCTTGACCCTATAGCCTTGACCCTATAGCCTTGACCCTAACCTAAACGCACATATAGCCACCTCAACCCTACAGCCATAACCCTATAGCCCTAACCCTATAGCCCCAACTCTATAGCCCTGACCCTAACCTGTAATGCACATATAGCCACCTCAACCCTACAGCCCTAACCCTATAGCCCTAACCATATAGCCCTGACCCTATAGCCTTGACCCTATAGCCCTAACCCTATAGCCTTGACCCTAACCTGTAATGCACATATAGCCACCTCAACCCTACAGCCCTAACCCTATAGCCCTAACCATATAGCCCTGACCCTATAGCCTTGACCCTATAGCCCTAACCCTATAGCCTTGACCCTAACCTGTAATGCACATATAGCCACCTCAACCCTACAGCCCTGACCCGAACCTAATGCTTGTTGTCTTTCCCCGTGTTGTTGTCCTTATCCCACACCTCTTATTAGCACGGTTGGCTACGTACAGTACGAACAAAGTTTAAAATAATACATACATTTTTTATTGAGTATGTACAGCCTCTTATGAGTACCTGGTGCGATGTGTAAGCATCGCCACTGGGGAGACAAAGGCGGCCGGACGTGGTACTTGCCACCCCCCCCCCCTTGGTGTGCCGGTCTCGCCTTCATAGGTGCTCGCTAACAGCACTTGCTCCTACAGCCTGTTAAGGCTATACGGGGAATCTTTGTCTTTGTAACTTGTAGGTATGTGGGGAGCGGTGGTGTAGCGGTTAACGCGCTGCGCTACGAACCCGGCGACCCAAGTTCAATTCCCGCTCACAGCCAACAATAGTGACGATTGTCTGAACCGGTCCTGGGCCTCCTCTAGGTCAACTCTGCCTCAAATGAGTACCTGGTGGAGTGTGTAAACATTGATACTGGGGAGACAAAGCGGCCGAGCGTGGTGCTGACCACCTACCCCCTCGTGTGCCATGCCGGCCTTCATAGGTGCTACTTGCTTACAGCACTTGCTCCAACAGTCTGTTAAGGCCATACGGGGAGAATATTTGTCTGTGTATGTACGTGCCATTGCGTGTGTCACTGCGTGTGTCACTGTGTCTGTATATGTGCCACTGTCGTCTCTGTCTGCATGTCAGTATGTAATCGTGTCTGTGTATCTGTCATCATTTATGTCCATATTACATCACGTGACCATGGACAACAACCGTGGCTTGGGGAGGCCTTCATGCAGCAGTGGATTGACCAGTCTATATTGATGATGCCTCAACGTAATTATGTCTCTGTATGTGTCATTGTTATGTTTAACTGTGTGCGTGTGTTAGTATGTATATGTATGCGTCTGTGTTTGTAAGATTGAGTGTATGAATGTGTGAGCGTCTGTGATTGAGTGTGAGTATGTGCGCATGTCACTGAGTGTATGAGTGCATGTGTAATTGAGTGTGTGAGTGAGTGTGCGACTGATTGTATGAGTGGGGAGCGCTACGAACCTGGCTATTTGAGTTCGATTCCCACACACGACCAACATCAGTACCTAGTGTGGTGTATAAACACCAGCACTGAGGAGACAAAGACGGCCGGGCGTGTTGCTAACCACAGCATGTGTGCCATGTTGGCCTTCATAGGTGCCCACAACAATTTCCACAGTAGGCTACACAGCGGATCTTTGTCCTTAGTCTGTGTGGATGTATATTTTTGTCATTATTCTCCGGAGAGATGCAATCATTAATTGCTGTGCTGATGTGATCTGTTCAACATTAAGTTCAACATACATGCATACATGTTGAGTGACTAGTCCCAAGTTACAGTCAACACTGTTACTTATTTACTTGAAACGCCGTTGCTCAGCAGAGGCCCAAAGTTGTAATAGATAAGAGCCGCAGCATGTTTCTTGAACTGAGCAAGGTTATTGTAAGTGCTTGGGGGGTAAGGGACGATAGGAGAGAATTACAAAGTGTAGCGGTCGAGGGAAGAGGCAAAAAGAGAGGTGAGGTGGGTGAGTCAGTGGGCGAGAGAGCATTGTTGTGATGTGCAAGTGTGGTGGTTGAACACTGTGTGGTTGAGACAAAATAGTCCCTAACACGGGTCCCCTCCATTGCTTCGGTGATTATTTTAGAGCCAGGGCAACAACACTGAACAACCTCCAGAATTTATTTTGCTTTTCACATCATCATCATCATCATCTTCTGCCATGAACCATTCACTGCTGGTTGAAGGCCTACCCAAACTATCACCATCGCTCGCAATCAGAATTCAAAGTGATCTCCTGCTGCTCAAATGAACATTGCGGTGGTGCTCATCTCCTGCGTGCAGCCGAGCCAGTGTTGAAAATTCCACACGACAGTCGTGGCAGGGGCGAGCGTATCCGCAGGACAGCCACTATTGACTTCCCCGCACAGTGGCACTCATTCTAGCGACCCATGCAGGAGAGATGATGGGCCGCGTCAGTCCCCAAAGCAGGACATGAACACGCTGCGTTCCAATCGCGAGCCGCCCGCTCCATCGCCGGGCGGCCGCCTGGCACCTGCGCAC